TTCTAATTATTATTTAAGGCGCTCTCCCTGTACGTTTAATATTTTATATTTACTACACTCCCTCCGTTTTTAATAATATTTATTATTAATAATAGCAAGTTCTTACTATAGGCGCTTTGTATGTACTTTATAACTATTTAACACCCCCTTGCCCTACCCGCTATTCTATATTCTTTATTTTTAATTAATATTATTCTATATAAGACTATCGCTTACTAATACTTATTATATTATATTACGACTACCTACTATAAATTTAAATTATAATTATACCTAGGTAGAGGAGTTTATATATTCCCTATATAATAATAAATATTATTTAAATAATCGGTCGGCAACCTATAAAAATTAATTTATTTTATAATAATTTTTAAAAAATAAATATAGGTTAATATATTCCTTGATCGTCCGATACTTCAAGGGGGGTAGCTTGTATACTATATTTTAATCTCTAATTGATTTATTAAATTCGTAATTAAATATTAAACTTCCGGTATAATTATCGTTTAACCCGGTTATATTATCGAATAATTTATCCAATATTTAATATTCCGGTCTAACTATTAAGTTCCTAATTTAAATATTAGGGCTTTAATTAAGTAATAAAATACCCGGTTAAATTGTCGAACTTCCGGCCAAATTATTTATTTTTTAGGCAAATATTCGATTATATTATAAATTATATATAAATAAGAAATTAACGAACTTTAAACTTTTAATATATTAAATCCATAAATTAATTATTTCTTTTTATAATAATTTTAATATTCTATATATTAAACTCCCTCCTATTTAGAATATAATCAGTTATACTAGCTTCTAATATATTTAGTTCGCTTGGGGATTTTAAAATATATTAAATATAAATTAGGGTAATTTACTAAATAAATAGAAAGAATTCTAATTTAATACTAAATTGATAATAGTTATACTTTTTCTATATAACGGAATATAAATAAACTTCTTCTTTTAATAGTTATAGGTAGTATTAATATAGTAGAAGTATAAATTATAGGCTACTTGATTAATAATAAATAGGTGGAAGTAATAATAATAAGGGAAGTTTAGGAAGAAGTAGAAATTTTAGAGGAAATTTAGGAGGAAATAGAAGTTTGGGAGGAAGTTTTTTATAATAAAGGTAAATAGAAGTTCTAGGTCGCTCTCGCTACCTACTACCTAGCACCTATTCTATCCCGTTTACCTTACTATTACTAGAACCCCTGGCGCTACTGCCCCCCAGCTATATAGGCATCCAAAGTAATTACGTAATATAATAACTAATTATAGAATATCCCTATTTAATTCTAGATAGAGATTCGGCTAGAGGTTGGAGTCGTTGGTAGTTTTTTCGCTACAATACTAAGGGGTATTATAAATAGAACCGGCAAGTACTATTTTAACTTTCTTTATTTAGAAGTAGAATTAATAGTAGCGTACTCTGTATATATAGTCTAATTAACACATAGGTTTCCACTTCTATAGGGGACCTTAATATATATACTATAAAAAATATAAGTAGCGACCCCCAACTCCCACTATATACCTACAATATATTAATATTATTATGAATAATTGCCGCTATAATATATAGACTTAGGTTATTATATACTTTATCGCAGGGTTTCTATAAATTAAAGTACGATATATTAGCGATATTAATACTAATAACTACCAATAATCTAAAATTCTAATATAAATTCGGGGTACTATATAAAGGGGCTTGAAAAAAAGCAGGTGTAAAATGAATGCCCAGGCTATATATTTCTTTATACTACTTATTAAACGCTAATTGCCGGGAATAGAGGATAGGAATGGATATTTAGCACTTTCGTAGTAATAATAGATAAGGGAGTTGCCCTAGACTACCTTAGGGGTAAGGTATAAGGTATACTACTTAGAGACACCTATAGCGATGGAATAGAAGTAGTAAGCGAATACTAGCGGTAGCCCCAGGGTAGTAAGTTATAGATAGATATTAAATAAATATTATAATAGTTTTAAATAATATAATAATATTCGTATAATATTTGATTATACTATTCAATTTCTAATCGTATATTAATTGATAATTATTATATTGTATATACAATAGTAAAAGTTTAGTAAAATAAATTAATATATATATAGTAGGATATTTATAAAGGAAAAAAGAATAAACTTGAAATATAAGTTGAACCTTTAAAAATGATTCTTATACGAATTTATTTTATATTGTGAATAGATAGTTTAATTAATTATTATTTTAGGGATGGAATAAAATATTAGAGATGAAGCACCTTCGATAATTGAACATTCTGCTGTGTAGAAGTTTCTATTATACGCGCGAACTACTTTTTGATAAAAGTTCCTGTTGTGCGTGCTACTTTTTATTTTGTATAAGACGTTGTTGCTGTTTGAGTGTACCGTTCTGGCGGGTTAGTTGTCTAGATGTAAATAGACCGACCACTAAAATATATTAATTACAGTCTATAATTGTTTAATTAAATATGTAATTATCGAAAAGGGGCTTGTATAAGCGGATTCGTTCTATAACGCTTTTGCACTATCAACACCACTGCCTGCACCCTGTTCTGGCCCTGTTGTCAGACCCCCCATTCCCAGCAGGGGTGCCTGGGCCATTTTTGGAGAAAGGCCCGTGGTCCGCCAGTGCCAGCGAGCGTCGGCGGCCCGTGAGCGCTAGCGTGCCAGCCAGTCAATGCACTCCCGTCACTGGCAAACTCGTTGAGAAGCGCCTGCCCACTGCACTCATGCACCCGCTTGCCCAGTCGCAAAGCGTCAGTCCCTTTTATGAACGGCGGAACGCACCTGATTTGCGCGACCGCTGCTGCTCACGTTCAACTTTTTTTCCTTTCAACTCCCGTCGTCACCCTGACCTGACATCAGCAGCATCTCTCCTTTCTTCGACGACCAACTTTGTCGCCCTTGGTCGCCTTGTCGCATCGCCCATCGTCGTACTTGTTAATCGCGTCCTTTTCTTCGTACATCTTTTCCCTGTTCTGGCAAAGCTGTAGAGGCGATTTAAACGCGCAGGTTTTCTTGACGTCTCGGGCGTTTTTCTGCTTGCGCGACCGTCATTCGGAACTCGTCTCTTTCCCTAGCAGCTGCAGTCGTCCGATCGACCTGCGGCCCTGGCTTTTGAAGATTAATTTCGTTACCTGCCTGCTCAGCTGAGTTCAAGGTCGGGACCTCTCCGTTCTTTAACCTGGGATAGAGAGGAAATGCTGTAGCGAACTGCGATAACCTCATCGCTGTTGTCTTCCGCGCACGCGTGGGGAAGATTCGTGACGAGTTTGCGGACGCATTCAGGCACACGTAACCCACCCAACAAGGAGCACGTGCCCCAAGGCGTCAGAACACCACGATAAGATCGTGACGAACACATCCAGGGTATGCATCATCTTCACCTCTTCCCCAGTCCTAACACCTCCAAAAACAAGCACAAAGACCACTACTGTATTTTACCATATCACATGTCCTGCATCTGCCTGTTGAATCACGCATCCTGGAACCCGCAGTCATTAAGGCTGTGAGTGGTCAAGGATTGCGAGATTTGCAGTGCAAATTATGGGGTTCGTGTTAACCAAAAGGCCAACAAACCCTTTCACCAACATCGACCAAAAACGGTACAAGTAACCTGGGCTACCTGCCACAGTACCTTGCGTTTAATCTTGTCAGGTGAAAAGAGGGGAGAGAGCAGAGAGAGCAAAGAGAGAGAGAGAGACATGTGCGGGGAGAAATGCAAAACCAAACAACGACTTGGGGAGAACAACAACAGTACCTGGAAATGGCAATCCAGAGACTGCACAATCCCATCTTGATTGATATGCTGCGGTCATTTGATGAGCCTCTGGCAATGGCTATCAATGACACCCGGATCTATCAGCCTGGCCCCCTGGTTAATTGTCCCATGCACAACCTGAGATCCAGATTTCACATCTGCTGTGTGGCAAGCAGGCAGCCCAACAAAGACACACACCTTGGCCTGGCTGGAATTCCTGGGAGAAACCTAAAAGACAACCCTGAGTGGATGGTGGCTGTTAGTGCTACGGGCAATTCGCACTCCGAACAGCGAGCGTTGAGGGACTCCCACAGCACTGCCAAGGCCTGCGGGTCATGTCACTTCCTTAACAGCACTACTGCAACTGTTTGAACGGTGCTGTGCTCGCAGCCCCGCACACCTCATCCACGCCCGACAACCCCACCGACGGGACTTCAACCGCGCAAGGGAAGCCGGCCCGTTAATGGAATCCGATTCACATTGAAGACAAAACCTCACCTCACCTCACCTCACCGTTTGTGTCCTCGGCAACACTTACTTGATTTGAGACGGTGGACATCACGGCAGCGGGATATTCGACCAGAGCTTCGAATGACAATAAACTTGCAGCAAGCTCATCCAAGTCGCGTCGTGTGGTTTCCAGACAACCGCCGCGGCTGGCAACCTTGGTTGATTTCCCTGCGCTGTCACCCTGGACGGTACCTCGACCACTGTTTACACGTCCATCTTGAATGCCAACGCTTTCCCCGCCGCTACCAGGGGCAACCGGCCTCGACAACATTTCGACTTGCACCACCACACCACAACACCACCACCACCACTATCACCGGGAACAGTGCATTCTGAAGCGCTCTCCTGTAAATCAACATCGATATCGACATTAACTTGTCGCTGGACTTTGCTTGGTGCTGGCGGCCTTGCATAACGCTCCCTCCAGATTTCTTTTGTTCTCTCTCTCATTCTCTCTCTCAGGGTCTCTCGCTCTCTCTCTCTTTCTCTTTTCATGTCTGAAATCTTTCTCAGTTTTCATTCAGGACATCTGCGAGCTGGTTTTCTCGCTCATTGTCTCCCACTCGTTCACGCATTACACTTGGACTGCTGGCAACTTCTCAGAACTGAAGTTGGACTCTTTACCTGACGCTGACCCTCCTCGTGCCTCGCAGAACTTCACAGGCTAAGCCGCTTCCAGCTTGGCATTCTTCCTGATTGGACCAGCTAGCGCATTCTGTGCCCCACCACTCGACGTTGGAGACACCCCACCCGTGTAACAAGGCAACCACTCATTTCACACAGTTTCCGGACTGGTTGTTAAGGGCACACCTTTGTCTTGTGCTTTGACACACCCACTATCAACGACAAAGTGAGTTTCGACCGAGAGTATTCTGCTCCAAATTTCCCACTAGATTGACTTTGTCACTCTCGTACAAGTCTGTTGTGTAGATTTGGATCGGTGGTGAAATGACTTGCACCCCATGAGCCCTCTTGACTGACCACCTTGATTCTCCTAGCCCGTCGCTGCCCCTTTTTTCGTTTGTTTGGATTCTTCCCTCCTGAGCTGAAGCCAGCAATCATCGTCCTCGCCAGTCATGGACGCCAGCCACAACAACCACGCCGGGCAATGGGATCCCAACTCCTTTGCGGCAGAGAATCCATGGGAACAACAGTTCGCCTTCACCCCTGAGCATGGGCACGAAAATGTGTATCACAACCCTGGTGCTTTCATCGACCCTCCACAGCAGGTCAACCCGCAGCTGGCTGGTCATGACACGCAAACAAATGCTTATGGCCACTACGACTACTACCCTCAGAGTGAGGCATGGACTGGGCCTAGCCCTGCATCTGCCCCTTATGCTCAGGAGCCATTGACCCAGGAACATTATGCACCTGCCCAGCAGCACCCACAGCACCACCACCAACAACCACCACAACAACAACAACAGCAGCACCCATATGGCAACCATCGCACAATTGACAGCCGGTTCGCTCTTGTTGACCTCCCGCAAGAGAACGAATACTCGAACCACCATATTCAGATTCCCGAGAGGCAAGAAGTAGTTCAAGGTGGTTTTGCCCATGGCGCTGTTCCCCCCAGGCAACAGTCGGCAGATGGCTATCTTCAGGGACATGTCTCAGAGCAATGGCAGAGGGTACCAATGGCGAGCTCAGGCTATGCTACGAATGGAGAGTACCAAAATCCCTTAGCGATGCCACAAGCTGTAAATCACCAACAACCGGTTGTACATCAATCACAGCAGCCGCCTCAGCATCAGCCGCAACATGTCAGTCAGCAGCACCCACAACTTCAGCGGCAACAACAGCCATCGCAATCGCAATTACATCTACCGCAGCCGCAGCAGCAGCAGCAGCAGCAGCCGCCACAACAAAGGCAGACGCCCACGCCCATTCAATACCAGGCTGGCCATGGCCCAGTCCAGGGAGGGCTCACGAGCTACCACCATGTCCAGGGTCACCATACCCCCGAGCCCCAGCCAAATCAAGCTCACTTTATGCAAACTGTTAACGGGCAACATATTCAAAACTGCGCTTCCGTTGCACAAATCCCCGCGCAGCGAGCCACGGCCAGCCCCAGCCCACTAAGTCATACACCAATTCAAAGCGCACCTATACAGCAGAAGCCTGCCCAACCACCGGTGCCGCAACCTATCCAACCTAAAATTGCTCCACGTTCCATGGCCCAGCCTGCAGTGCAACAGATGGTGCAGACGCCCGCTCATCAGACTGCTCAACCATCACAGTCGACACCACAGCCTACGCCGCAGCCCACACCGCAACCTCATGGACAGACAATTTCGCAAGCCCCTCAACATCAGACAATACCACAAGGGTTTGTCCAACATCAGCAGCCTAGCCAACCTCAAGCCTTTCAAGTTCCGATCTCACAGTCCCAGCCCGTTCAGATCCAACCGTTCCAGGCCCCGGCGCAGGAACGGGTGGTTCAGGCTCAGGCTACACAACAGACTGTTCAGTCTCCCCAAAATAATGTGATCTCGGGCGTAAAGCGACCTGGTGATGTGCAGGAGATGCAAACCCTTGCCAAGAAACCGAAGGTGGTACAACCAGCCTCCAGTATCGCGAATCCCCAAGTCATTAGCTTCGCAAATAATAACTCGGCGAACCCTGGCTTCGTACCGGATGTAAATGGGCAAGGCGATGGTGGCGATGTTGCCGGTCTTTTCATCGTAGATGAGGATTTGATTGACAAGGCAATTGAAACACCGGGTTGCACTGTCCCAGGAGTGCCGCATCTCGTCATCGATGAATCTCCGGTGCAGCTCAAGAAGGGACCACCAACTAAGCGTTTCGTGACCATTGTGGCGAAAGCGGGCAAAGACCCTCTATTCCCTGGTCTTGAACGTGGCTGGACTCCTGCTGAGTCTCTCAGCAACCATGCCGAAGCATATCAAACTGCCAAAGAGGTGCTGGACCGCCAGAGAGCAGATATCAGGCTTGACATTGAGATGAAACGAGCAAAGACTGAGATGCCGGCCGACTGGTGGAAGAAGCTCTCCAAGGGTGAACTTGGAACGGATGCTAAGCAGCGAGGATCGCCTCCGCCCGAGCCTACCCTGACAGCCGTGAAAGCATCCGAGCTGCTTCGCCTCCATCCAGCTCACAAGAAAAACAGGAAGGTGATTGTACACACGAGTAACGAATTCGGTGCATTTGTTGCCGATAAGATTGCTGCTCTAAGGGCTGCACCAGCATTTGAGAAGCTTGTCAAAGATGTTAAGAACAAGGGAAAGGGTTCTGCTACCCTCAAGCCTGCTGCAGTTGAGACTCTGAAGCAGTCTCTCCAGCCGTTCAAAACGGAGCTTGAAGCAGCCATTGTTGAGGGACTCAAAGTCGGAGACCCAGTAATCCTGCGGATGGTGGGTGAAAGGGGTATACTGCCCGTTCGTCTACTCAATCTTCTGATCCAACTCTTCAACCTTGGCGAGGCTACCTCATCGTTGGCCAAGGCCGCTCTTCGCCTCTTTGGTTGCTTTACAAGCCTTACGCCAGAGCAACTTGAGGCTTGGAAATTCCAAACCACAAAAGGCAAGCTTGAGGGGCTGGGTGATCCTGAGATCAATGAGTTGGTCGCAACTATCATTGCAAATGCCGAAAAGAACGCTGGGAAGGAAAGTCCTGCGGCCAAGTCAAAGAAAGAGGCTAGCAGCGATGCTAAGAAAACTCCTGCCAAGACAGCAGTCTCAACAACCAAGAGAGCTCGTGAGGATGATACCAATGGTGATGCACGCACGGCCAAGAAGCCTTCTACAGATGGTAAGCCTCGGGTGACGGCCACCTCGAAGTCTACTAGCGATGTCAAAGCCCCATCTCCTGGTTCAAAGACGCCTCCAACTACAGCCAAACCAGCTCTTAAAACATCGGCTACCACACCTGCTACGACCGCGTCCAAACCCCGTGCTTCTTATCTGCTTCCTGGCAAGGCCCGCCCATCAGCAAAGCCAGTCCCAAAACCAGAGCCTTCAAAGGCCGAACCAGCGAAACCGCTGGTCAAGGCAGCTTCTGCAAAACCATCTACCGCGCTGTCTGCGATAAAATCCAATGCCCCTCAGGCGGTATCCTCAGCTGGCAACTCGGCGAAGGCAACAAAGCCCAAGGAAGAGCCACCGACCAGCTCTAGGTTTGCGGCACTCATGGATGAGATTGCTGCACCCAGGAAGGTGATAGCAGACGCAACACCTCCGGCGGAGTCCGCCCCTGACCCGAATGAGACGGAAGAACAGAGGAGGCGCCGCTTGCGGAAGGAGGAGCGGAGGAGAAAGAACATGAGGGTCGTTTTCAAGAGCGACGACCAACTATGCCAGATCAAGGAGTACACCCTATTTCCTGAAGAGATGGGCCACCGCCAGTCTCGCGATGTCCGATCAGATAGCAAGGACAAGCGTGAAGGCATGGCACTCAAAAAGGGCCATGCGGGTGAGCTTCGCCCTTGGGAGGAGCCCAACTCGGTTGATCTGGAAGTTCTTCCGGAGGAGGTGCGCAAGGAAAGCTATGTCACCATGGGTGGCGTGAAGACTTTCCGCACCGAACAACAGGCGTTCATGGACGATCGGGAAGCCAAGGAGCTCATGGTCATTTACACAGACCCATCGGATATTCCGCCTACGCCTAAGTCGCCTGCTTACGAGCCTTCGCTTGATGGCGGCTCCGGGTCTGATGTTCAGTTGCCTGCAGGTCTGGAGTATGATGAGCTTCGTCGCAGAGCTACTGATTTGAAGAACTTTGGTGCTCACCGTTCAGCTTATGAGGCCAAGGCTCGGCTGGAGACTCAGTCGAGCCCAGGCTTTGCTGACTTCACCGAGACGATGAAGTCGCTTAACTCGATCACCGGCCCGTATGCCGGGTATCCTATCCCTGTACAGCAACCAACCGCCGTGCACGTGGCGCCCGTTGCTGCGGCTAGGCCTGAGGGCATTCCGCCTATCATCGTGCCTGTCACAAACGAGCCGCCGGAGGTTCGTGATCAGCGAACGTACGAGCTCATTTCCTCTGAAAGGGTCCGGTACTACCGTGATCCGGAGCCTTACGATCCTGCACGTCCCAAGACAGTACGTCGTCGCGATTACACAGATCCTCTCATTCAGAAGGCTGCAGACTATGTGGAAGAAATCGTTGAGTATGTTAAGCGGACAGTCCCTGAAGTCAAGCAACAACCTGTTCCGGCAGTTCCTGTTGTGCCGGCTCAAGCTTCAGCTCCAGCTCAGGCTGCTCAACCAGCGGCAGCCCCGGTAGACTACAGCGCAGCCTGGGCACAGTATTACGCCCAGCAAGCTCAGCAAGGACAGCAGCCGGATGCGAATGCCCTTCAACAACAGCAGGCTTGGTATGCTCAACAACAGCAACAACAGCAGCAGCCAGGCGCCTTTGGTGCCTACCAACAACAGATGGCTCAGCTCGCTGCTCAAGGCGTCGATCTAAGTACCATCTTGCCTGCTCTCGCAAGCCAACCCAACGCCAACCCCCAACAAGCCGCCGAGATCCAAGCCCTCATCGCCACCCTAGCAAGCGGTGGTCAACAACAACCCAACCAGCCCGCCGACCGTCAAATGACCGAGTACCTCACCTCTCTTATGAATTGGGCAGGCGGCGTTCCTCACACTCAACCTGCCGCCCAGCACGGCGGTTACGACCCCTATCAAGCTGGTCAAGCCTATGATCACAACGCTCGTGACAGCCGTGATCGCGACCCTAACTCTCGCGACCGCGACAGCAGTGGTTGGGACCAGCAGCCGCACCACGGAGGCCGCGAAAACTTCCGCGAACGTAACGACAGTCGTGATGGCGGACGTGACGGACGTGATCAACAACAGCAACAAGGACATCATCGCGGCGATAAGCCCCACTGGAAGAACAAAAAGAACCGCGGTGATCGTAACGGCGATGAAGTGCCGGATCATCTCAGGGGCATTAACCGCAGTCTGATTGGCACGAAGCAGTGCACGTTTTGGGCGCAGGGAAAGTGTGCGAAGGGTGATAAGTGCACTTTTAGGCATGATTGAGGGGAGTTGTAGAAGCGGTTATAAACTTGATTGTGCATCATTGAGGAGAGAGCATGGGGTGGCGCAAGGGTTCAAGGAATGAGGAATGGATTTTGGGATGACTTTCAGCATATTAGAATGAGAGTCACTAGAGGAACGAGAAAAGACGAAGAGCGCGTTTCGTTTGCTACATCATGTTATTACAAGCAAAGCGAAGCCAAGTCAAGAAGGACCGAGTTACATTGAAGGAGGTTAGCTTCTTCACATCAAAATGTTAATATATCACTTGCTATCGAAGATTTGTCAAGAAACAAGAAAAGATGATTACTACCATGCTTCTTAAGTCAAGCGGCCACAAGTGAAAATGTGAAAAGAGGTATTATGAAGAACCGGAGAACTACTGCGAGTAAGAAGAGTAAGTGGTGTTTCGTATACACCATATTGTATAAGACCAGTTCTTGGATAATATAGGTAGGTAAGTCTTGCTGGCCCGGCCGGACGATAAGGTTTCTCTGTTTACCAGACCGCGAGTAGCAGTAGCAGTAGCAGTAGTAGCAGAAGTAGCAGTAGTAAACTTATGTCAAAAAATACTGTCCCCTCACCCCACATATCCAATATGGTAAGGGGGGACAGCATTTTTCGATTGTGGCTACCTAGACGTAGTAGATAGAAGACATCTTCACAAATTAACAAGCAGTCCAAAGGCGACCAACCGACACCGCAAGTCCGCTTCATCTCTCCCGATGTCTACGGCCGGTATATAAGAAGCCGGTGCTTGGTTTTATATACTTATCCTATCCTATCCCGTTTCACATATTGATAGTACAGAATCTGTGTGGGCACATATGTGGCTGTGACAAGGAATATCCAACACTACCTGCCTCAAATATTGGTCGCAACACTTGGTATTACTGGGTGTGATACTGATGAAAGACACTCGTGTTTTTCTCCCCTGCCTACCTAGGTAGTCTATCCAAGTCTTTTCTCTGTTGTGGTCCGGACGTACACTTACTTGTTCAGCCTGGACTAGTTACTATTTTTGTGGCTAAAGGAGGATTTGTGCTTTAGCTTTGCTGGAGATATTCAGGATGATTTCCGCCTGATTGTTCAGGTTACTAAATGATGATCACATATATTGGTCGATATCACGGTCATGAATGATACACTTCGTATGGCCTTACACTCTAGTTTAAACTTGGCCTGTCTCGAACTGTTGTTTCATTGATAGGCATGTAAATACCTTTAAGCAGCATAACTCAAGACCGGGATGGAAACACTCGGCTTTTGAAGAGGGAGAAGAGAGGCTCGCGAGGGCACGAACTGGCCAGTTCATTACCTGGTTCCCCTAAATTATCCATCTTTGATTGTTAGCTTCCTCTGGTTGCAACTTCTTTCAAGAACATAACCTTTTGGGATGGCACCGTTGCAGCTGCGCTGACTTCTGGCTCGAGAAAGCAGCCGAAGATATACTCAAGGCAAATCTCGCTTTTACATTTTCAATTAAGATACGAGGTGACAGTTTACAATTGGGAAATCCAGCATTGGTATATCATGCGAATGTTAATAGACACCCAAAACAGACAACAAGAACGCGGACAGTGGTGCCAACTCAAAAATCATTCAACGCTGGACTACAGTGGTTGCTACTTGAGCACCCAAGATCCCTTGCGATGGTGACCATACAATGGTTTGCGTATAGTAACCTAGAACCGAGAAGTCATTCAAGTAATCGACTTGGTACCATCGACAATATCAGGTAGGGATCGTCCGCCATGGTGCTCTTGTCCTCGTCCTTGTTCCTGTCCGGGATACTCGCCAGAGTGAACCAAGAATTAATGGGGAATATACCATCGAACTGTTTGCAAAACCAGTGCATCTAGAAAACCAACAGAGAAAGACCATGTGCAAGTGCAACAGCCAACAAGTTGTGCCCATATTGAATCCGAACAAAGACATTGACAAAACCCAAGATCCTCATACCCATATCCTTCCACCTTCTCAACCGTCCAATGTCTCCTCGTTGGGCAAGGTCTCCTCAACCTCCCAGGATTGGTTAAGCTGTCCATAGATGCCTCGAAAAACGAAACCGTGAGCCAAAACTCAGACAAAGGTGGGTGCAGTATAAACCAATGCGCCGAACATCATGGCACCTGTAGCTACACCTCCGAGAGCAACATAGCCGACCCGCTCGGCAATATTGCGCAACCGTTGCCTCTTGGTTGGTCTATCGCCGTCGTCGTCGTCAAGGCGAACAGTCGATGTAACGACCGAGACAGGCAAATCGAGCGACTCAACTGTCATTGTAATATCTGTCGCTGCCTCAGTAGAAGGTTCAATCAAATCGCCAACCTCCATGTCCTTGTCAACCTCCATGACTTCCTGTACTTCCTCTCTCTCGTTTTCGCCGCTTGCTTCGGGCTTCTGTACTTCGCTAGCTTGCCATGCAAGGTCTTCCTCGGTACTAGACGAGATGGCTTCTGCCTTTCTCTTTCCTTTGCCAACTGGGGCATTCTCATCCATAATATCGGAGATAGCAAGGCGTGAATACTCCCTAGTGACGGGTGAAGACTGCATTATGGTCATCCTGTTTTCCTTCCGAGCCTCAAAGAATTTTGCTTTGTCAGATGGATACCAGGGAGCTTCTTCCATTTCTACCAAAGGTCCATTCAGTGGTTTGTTGATTGGAGAAGTCTCATCGATATCTCCCGCCGATTTGTTTGACTTGGGAGTAGCCAGCTGAACGTCGCGAGGATGAGTGAAGGATAGAAACAATGGAGAATCGACAGGATACGATGCTGGCCGCATATCCGCAGGAGTGGCGTAATTGACTTGAGGGATAGCGCGATCAATGACATCGTCCTTGATATCTGGAGTGACAAGGCGAGCCGTGCTATGGCCCTTGTCAATGATTGATGATGGACCAGTCACAACATTGCTGAAGTCTGGCATGGCCCAGTTGCTAGAAGGCTCCCTGCCATAATCTCCTTCTGCCTCTGACTCTGCATCTGAGTCCTGGCCAGCGGAAAAATCCGAATCGGACTCAGAGTATGGGTAATCGTATTCAAAGCCTCTTTCAGAGGAATCGCCATCTAAGACATGGTTAACAACTAAACCCATTTGCAGATTTCAATCAACACTTACCACCATTCAGATCTCCTCCACTCACTTCCGAATTAGCGGATTCGGGCTCATACTCTGGCTCATAATCAGAGCTCATCTCGGAGTCCCAATCATCATCATCATCAAGTGCAGCGTAATACTGCGATGGAACGGGGTGTTGGGATAGAGAGACATGTAGAGATGCGTTGGGAGCTTGAGATGCAGTGGGTTGAAGGGCACCGACGTTCTGAGGCCAACAATCCTCTCCACTTGATCCATAATTGCTACAGCTGCTGTCGTTGCTGTCGATAGGGCTCTTCGGAGATGGTATGGAGGCAATGTCTGACTTTGAGTGCGAGTCTTGATTCTGATGGGAGTCGTTGATCTTATCACTCTGGCCCCAGTTGTTCTTGTAGTTATCATCTTGGTCCACATCGATAACCTGTTTCTGAGGGTCTGTGATGACATTCCCAGACCCGACAGGGTGAGTGAGATCAATCACTTCACCCTTCCAGCTGCGTCCTGCTAGTCCACGGGCAGCCGATTGGGTGCCCTGCACCAACGGGCTGACGTTGGAGTCTTCGTCTTGATATTCCATGTCGGAGTCCGATATGTCGGGGACTTTGAATGTACTTGAAGCCCTCGGACTATTCCATGTTAGTATGGTCTAATGCTAAACAAGGGCAATGAAGCGTTTACTCGGTGGTTGCGCGAGAAGCAATGTTTGAGGTTATGTTGCTGTTTGCTGGGGTTGTGAAACTTACCGAGTAGTATCTTGCTCTAGCTTCGCTTTAGGGACCTCGATATACTCTAGGCCTACTTTAACGATTGTAGGGGGAAACGTCTTTTTTCTCATGACATCCACACCGAAGCGAATGTTGTCGCCGTCCTTAATCTCGACCTGCTCGTCCTTTTCAAGTCGCTGGTCGCTTTCATTTATGTACGTTCCGTGGAGCGACCCAAGGTCCCGCAGTTTCAGCCGCTGCAAGATAGCCATTACCTATTAGCAAAGGAATCGGTAGATGGGCCCGCTGGGGAGGAAGGAGTAAGCCAACCTTCTGGGTAAAATCAGCGATGATCTCAGCGTGCTGTCGAGACATCACCGGGCTGTCGTACCACCCGTTCTGTGAACTTGGTACAAATCCCTTGGCAGCCAGTTTAGAAGAGCGGCCGATTTTCAATGTCGGATTCTGCTTGTCCAAGACAATGTACCGTCGCGAAAACGGATGGTCAGTATAAGGATGCTGGGACAACGAGATCGAGAATGCTGGTAGTAAGTTAGTACCAAACCATCTGGGGACTCGGAGAAGAGGGGAAGGAGGGGTTTCTAGCCCTGATGAGTAGGTTTTGAATGGACGTACCAGGTAAGTTGCCAGTCGAGGCCGGCTCAGAGTTCGTGGACATTGTGGATGTGCGAAAGATGCAGTCGTTACACCGTTTCCTTGGAGGGGTCAAACAAGTAGTGATCCTGCTTCTTGTCAGGCTGAAGACCGGACTGCCCTGGTAGCTGCAGAATCCTGATCAAGGCGGGTCAATCAGCCGCAGAAGAGGTGATACCCGAGGTTCCGGACTGCTGGTGTGTTGAGGAAGCGTTCCAAGGCAGCAGAGCGCAGTACCAGATACGATGTCAGAAGCAGCACAGACCGAGCCGAGGATGTGAGAGAGTTGGAAGTGCGTGCAGTGAGTGAGCAGTGATGGTAGGGTGAAACGTGCTCTCTGGGTCGATGTGAACTCGAGGTCTGGTGCAGGTGAAGGAATGATGACCAAACAAGACGCAGCAACGCAGAGGTAGAGGTAGCTAGCTGCAGACTGCAGCTGGAGCGCGGGGTCAATGGTTGTTTCGCAGCGAGTGCAGAACAGGATGGTCTCAGTGTTCAATACTTAAGAAGTTAAATTGTAGCTGGAGGTTTGTAAAGGAACAGGAGGAACAGTCAAATCGAAATGGATCAGTTGGGTTGGTTCGTTGTGTTCAGTTGAATAAAGGAGGTTGCGACTGGCAAGAGAGACGGATTCGGTAGTCGCACTTTCAAGGGTGCTTGCCCAGGCGACCGCCAACTTGCACCTCAAATGGGAAAGAGCACTCCTCCTTAGATAGCGAAAGTGCGGGGCCAGGGGGCTGCCTGATACACCGACCCGGACTTAGGACCTATCGATCTGGCCATGTCTGCCTACCTAGCACTTACCTACCTCTACTTACCTCTAGGGGTCACAGTAGGTGTTGGGCAGCTTCTCCTCGGCTGTCTCTTACTTCGTTACCATTGGTGATACCAACGTAAACGAAATGATTTGTCTTGATTATCGTGCTTCGTGGCAGCAGATCACAGCGCTCTTCCTTCGTCCACCATGCCGTTTACCTTAGTGAAAGCACTCGAGCCATGGAAGCTGTACTGGAGCCGTACAACTAGACCGCATTTGCGAGGCACCAGGCTACCAGCAGGCAGGCAGACATCGGGTGGGAATGGACGGACATATGCGGTTACACAAGCTTGACTTCTTTCCGTCGGATCTATCTATTTGTGCTCCGACCTGCCCCCCTCCCCTCCCTTTGGTCCCTTCGTTCGTTTGCCAATGAGGCGGGCGACAACTGAGTCAGACTGGACCCCTCGCAACACGATCTAGCACCCGCTGGTATTAATTCCTGACGATCCAATACCCTTATGGTACCTATTCATCAGCTGGGCGGCTTGCAATCGGTTGACTCCAATGTTGATCATGTTTGAAAACCCGACGAGTTGTCGTTAGCTGAGACTCGTGATGCCCCACTCCTGTTCGCATGTGAACGACGACCTACCGGGACTGGACGGGAGAGCTACGAAGTGCGGATACTGCGGAGCTGCTGCTGGCTTTGCTGGAAACAAAAGGACCGGGGAGAGCAAGAAGAGCAGGGAGAGCAGGGCGGACAAGGGGCGGGCAGCTCATGAGTGACGGCACGTTGGTGGGGAAGAGGGGCGTCGGTATCTTATCGCCTGCAAGGGCCCAGGTAGAAGGGGATTTCACCGATCCAAGACAGCACCTTTTGCCGTTTCACAAACTCCATCGGGTGCTGCTCTTTCTTACCTCTAAGCTACGGGCAGCGTACGTCTAATTCCCCTGCTTTTTGGGGGCTGATCAAGACGTGTAAATAGGTAAGCTGAAGGTTGATGATGAACGTTCGTGTTGGGCTCGAATGTTTTTACACTTGATGCTTCCCCAGGCCGTAAAGGTGCTCAGTGACAGCGCTGGAAGATCCAGTCCTAACCTCTTTTGGTTAGTGCATCCATGGTCCATATGCAAGCACTTAAACCACGCCCACGAGATGGATGGCAAGGACAACCAAAGGAAGCATTCAACATGGAGGGACTGGCACAAGATTCACACCTTTCCAAAACAATGGCATTCCTTCAAGTTGCCGATTCAAACCAAATACACCAATGAGGGACCTTACCTTGGCTCTCGATTCTCGACCTATCGTACAAAAAAACAAGCCCTTAGTTTGCACTAGTACCGTTGCCAATGCTTGCGCGGAGCTCCAGCGATACCTAAAAGAGGCTTATATCAGCACATGTTTGATTGAGTCACAAGTCACAATGCCATGTAGGTTCGCAAACCAGGGAACAATAATTTATAGCAAGAAGATGTTTGTCCCGAGGGACATGACATGACAGAACAGAACAGAATAGAACTGAATTGAACTGAACTGCAAGGACATCAGAAATCGTCACGGCTTAACGGATCCGATGGGCCGAGCATTAGGTAAATCGTAGCTAAGGTCTTGGCCCCGGGTACCGTTCGCCACTGACCACCGTGCCCTTGGTCTTCTGGGCCCGCCTCAGTGCGTCATGCGTCATTCGTTCCCGGGCCCTGCAGTGGACGGGGTCCCGAAAACTGCAGTTCCAGTTGTTGATCCGCACAAGTGGAATTGAAATTGTCCCTTTCTTTTCCTCTACAAGAACAAATATTTTCCCGTCACGAGCCAGGGAAAATAATCATCTGCCGTCTTATCCAACCAACTTTGCCTCCGACTTTCAAACCCCGACGACGGCACAGTCCTACCTTCGACTTTATAAGAAAGCACCCCCTCCCGTATCTCATGGATTGTATGCTGAAAACGACCTACTCATTCGAAAAGTCAGCAACTGCCATTAACAACTACAACAACCATTCACCTCCCATACACCGACCGGAAAAGTAATAGTCTTGCGCGGCAAGCGATCGAAATTACAAACCACGACGACTACCTCAACCAAGAATCCCATATCTCTTGCCGAACAGACGCTTCATCCAGCACACACCCAACAACATGCACGATTTACGCAAGAAAGCCCTTTTGGAAAGTGGCAAAACCGTTTCTCGAAAGGCTAGAGCGCGGCCCGACGCCCCACGCTCTGGCGGCACTCTCTCTCCCGGTAATGGCTCTCCCGCAAGCTCGCGGCCCGGCTCGCGGCCCGGCTCACGGGCACCCTCAACAGCGGGATCCCGAGCTGGAAGTCGTGTCCCCTCCGAGGATGAAGCAAGTGAATACGACTTCGATGACGCCATGACTATCAGCAGCGCCAACTCGGTAACCGGCGAGGATGTTTACGAGGACGATACAAGCAATACGTGGCCGGAGAGGTTGCAAGACCGTATTGCCGAACTTCAGGATCGCAAGAGAAGCAGCGTTCAGGGCCGCGAGGCTACACTGAAGGCATATACACACATTCTGAAGCACCACTTTGCACAAAAGCACATTGGGAAGAACATTTCCGACATCCACGCGGCCCTCCTCCGCAGCATCAGAAGCGGAAGCAGCGATCAGGAACGCCTGCTCGCTCTCCAAGCACTTGCAGTCACCATCCTTAACTGCCCCTCGGACGCGATATTCGATCACGTCTGGTCCGCACTCAAGGTAGCCTGTGAGGACAGCGAGGAAGACAAGATCAAGGTCGAGGCTATCAACGCCATCAGTATCGCCGTGTCACTTGGGGGCGGTTCATCCAGCGCCGCCGAAGAAGTTCTTGACTTCCTACTCGAAATCATCGAAAGCGACGGCCAGAGTGTGGGTGCTCCCGACAACGGCAACGTCGTAGCAGCAGCTCTCCAAGCCTGGGGGTTTGTGGCCAGCTACATGGACGACTTGAGCGTACAGCGCGACCAAGCCATGGAGGCCTTCATGGAGCAACTGGACAGCACAGACAGTGACGTGCAAATTGGTGCCGGCGTCAACATTGCTCTGCTGTTTGAAGCTGCCCGCGACGACGAAGAAGAAACGGGCGAGAGCTCCGACTTGCAGTACAACCAGCACAGAATCATGACCCGCATGGCGGAGATTGTCCGTGACTCTTCCAAGGCGGTCTCAAAGTTGGACCGTAAACAGCTAAAGGCCAACTTCCAAAGCATCATCACCTCTTTGGAACGTGGCCTGGGTCCGGGATATTCGACTGCTGGTCGCAGTTCGGCGAATCCCCACACGGGAGGCTCCAGGATGGAGTCAGGTGCCGGAGGCGAGGACGGCTTTGTCGAATTTGGATATCGTGAGAAGCTACGCATTCACAACCAGATTCTGATTATTGATACGTGGTCAACACACGCTAGGATGGAGACCTTAAAGACGATCCTTGGTGGCGGTTTGGCGACGCAATATATTGAGAACCCTGCGGTTAGGGAGGTTCTGGAGGGTGCGGATGTGGAGTTTATAGTCAGGACTAACAGGAAGAGGTAGAGGTAGCTTACGACTGAAGGATACCAGGATGAGTGAGGAAATTGAAACGATCGTGTTGGTATAACGATAGACGACAGCGTTAGGTGGCATTGTTATTGGATTCCTTTTTGCACGCATTCCTAGTTTTCAACAGGATTTTTTTTTCTTCTGGCATCTTAGATTAAGGTCTTTCCGCGAGGCTTTCTTAGTTGGCCTTCCTTTTCCTCATAATTTGTTCATCCTCGTTGCTCGTGTCATAGAGTTTGAGCCACAGCTCAGGGAACACGCTACACAGCGCAATTCATTCTCTTCATAACCGCTTTTTGCATCTATTCAGATAATATAATTGTTTCGACAATACCTGTTCTTCGATGTTTATCCCTAGGTTCACATTTTACACATAAGAGGTCTCTGGGGCTTCAAACATCTACTATATGACTGTGAATTAGATGTTCTGTCCAGCGAACAGAACATTCTTCCATCTTTTGGTGGTTTGACCTACAGGCATTGCACGCTCTTTGCGCTTTGACACAACCTATTCTTCTAGACATATCATAGAAGCTATAGCATGTAAAGCAGTACACGGAATGGAGTACATCAGCAGGGCCTTTGCCCATTCAACATTCTCATTTTGCCGCGAATGGGAAGAAAGTCGAGGAATACAGGTCTTGCATCAGAATTCAAGGTTGTTATTATTATACTAAATAGTATGTATGGCATGGAACGTCGGGCATATAGTGAAACTCCTGTCTAAGCAGGAGGATGATAATTCCGGTGATATGCGTTTTTCTCCGTCCCTTCTTAGTAGCTTTTTACCAGCCGATCTAGATAGAATATGAGACAATCAACACCGGGCAGCCACGAACCTTGGAAATAAATATACGTTGTTTCAGCATTTGACTTTTGGGTTCATGAGGGGGAATCATCTTCAACCGAACCGGAGCGTTCGGTATCCCAGACTCCCGGTTGTCGTGTGTCTCGCAAGCCCCTCATTCAATGAATATCGATTGAGGCATGCGAGGGGGTTTTGAGGAGATGTGGTCATTGCAGTGGTGATCCTCGCTGTAAGCCCTGGCACCACTATACGAAACGTAGTATTAAGTAGAAGATGCAGTTCGCAAACGACACACGACACACGACACACGACACATGACTGCTAGTGGATACATAGTTCTACATACAAGTATCTGCAACTCTTGGTCGGGTCAGGCGGGTAGGCTGACTCTGAAGGGAGAGTTCTGCTGTTTCATCAAGACCATGGTTTATGTGTATGGTGTTTCATAGAGGTAACTAACGACGTCATTAGCGCCAAGCATAGGGTACCTGACTGAACAAGGTCCAACGAACGACGTGAGGGGCAGCGATCCGAAAAAAAAAACGTGGAGAGGGGGGACCAGTTCAGGACAGGAACCACTGGCACCCAAGCCAACTTAAACAAGGGCACCAAGATATATGCAAAGAATCAGGGCAGTTGGGACAATCTATCGATGATCTTTGTCTGATCTTGAGGTCTGGCTTTCCGGTGTTGGTGAGTGATAGTGAGTGTGATAGTGACGGTACCTGGCAGCAGTTACCTACCTACCTACCTCCGGCTGGACTATTTGCTTGCTCAAGTTTATCAGCCGCGGCAGCAGCACAAGCAGGAGGTAACCAAGAACATCGTCACCAGCAAGCATCACATCAATAATGGGTAACGGCCTGCACTAAACTCGTAAAATCTGGAGGCCTGCGCAAGTGTTGTTGACCACATGGATTGCGGGGCTACCGTTTCGATTCCTTTTCTTGGGCCCGAGTACTTACCGGTAGGACAAGGCAAGCCGAGGTTGAGACGGTGAAGAGACGGAGGTGAAGACGGGAAACGGGACAAGCTCCGAAGCGGAATGGCTGCCGAAGAGCTGATCAACACCTCCCCCTTGTTCCCTGACCTTGGCTCACTGCAAAGAGCTCTGCCCTGGGCTGGTACATACGTAGCAGGCTGGGATGCGGCTTCGGTGGTCCCCAGCCGTCGGGGGTCCACTTTTTTTTTCTTTTACTTTTTTACTTTTTAGGAACCCGGTCATTCCCCCAAGTTCAGTTGTTCTTGTCCTGTTTTGATATGGTGTATTAATCATCAACCGGGCCGATGGGAAGGGAGGGAGGCGGGAAGGAGGGAGGTGGTTGAAGATGTCGTGAACAAGGGATTGAAGAATTGACCGAGGGATAGGTAACTACAGAGCAGAAAAAAGAAAAAGAAACAGAGACAGAAACAGGAACAGAGACAGGAAGGGAGAAAATTGTACCACAATGACCGGTTTTAAGCCTGAGCTTCCCAGCGAATCGATTTCCATCCATTCATCCATTCACTCTATGTCACTGCCCTGCCCAATTCTCTTGTGAAATAGAAGGCGAAGGCGGACGGAGCTGAGCTGCATAACGCTGCAGCAAGGCACCTCATAGCACCCCTGCCTCCCACGCGCAATTGGCCGATAGCCGTCGAGCATGGCCAGCACACCAAGCAAGGCCGGCCGTCGTCGGGCAAACCTAGGCGAACCAAGCCGCCATGGAGGAATTCGGCGCCGGGCAGTTGGGGGAGATCAGGAAGGGAATGGAAAGAAGAGAACAGGAAAAAGAAGGCCGTTCAGAGAACTGGAAGCTGTGACGGGATGGATGAAACGGAACCAAGGCCAGTGACTTGCTTGTATTCATTCGGGAATTATATCCATCCATGTGGGTGAGTCCAGTTCCCGGATGTATTCCCAATATTACTTACTGTACGCGGGCGCCGACTTCTTTGGACTCCTCTCCCTGACTCCCACCGCTCATTCGTCCCTCTCACCAGTCCACCACCGAATGGCCCCTCGTTGCTTAGGTTTCCTCTCTTGAGCACCAATCCAGAGGCATCAAACAGTCCCTTTTTATGATTTTTATTTCTTTTATTTTTTTTCCCCCCTCTCACGCACACGCCAGTCGCCGGTCGCCAGTCGCAAATCCACAGCAGCACCTAAGTCGGGAGGTCGGGTTGCAAACAGATTTCCAGGTTCCAGTGACGGACGGTGCCTTGCCTTTCCCGCTCTCTAGGACCATCTTTTTGTATGCTTCCCCTGCTGCTGCTGCTGCTGCTGCTGCCCTACCCGATATACTTGTACGTTGAATGGCGGGTAGCTTCGAATATATCGATCGCATCCAACTCCACCCGAACGAGCGGAGACTGTTGAATGATCACTTGCGACACACGCTTCCATTGCATGCGACGAACTACTAGACCGACCACTTTTGAGGCCTGCAGCACGCAAAACATAGCATACTTGGATCTCCGACACGACGAGACGGGCTTTTTTTGTCCCCATCCGCTTGGAACCCTAAAGTCAGCCCGCCCTGGTCGAGCTATCCACTACCTCTAGCTACAAGCTCGCGCGCATCGCACATCTGGTACGTGCCGTTGAGATACCTCTGTTCTCTTGTTGATATCCTCTCCTTCCTCGTCTTCCCATGTCTACAGCCACAAGACCAAGCAAACACCCCAATGCCTCGTGTCAGCATCGGGCTGAATTGTCCTCTCAAAAGGGCTGTCCCATTGCTGCCTCACCACAGCATCTACCTACCTCTACCAAGGATGGAAACATGGGGGTCGGTCCTCTGGTCCTTCCAGGTCAAAGAAGTGCAGGGCAGGACTGCCTGGGTATTGCGCCGCCTCTCGATTTTCACGGGACGGAGCACCGCCGCCTACCTTGTCGCTTCCTAGTAGCGTAGCCTGCCTCCCCGCCTGCCCTGCCCTGTCATCCCGTCCTATTGTGGGTTCAGGTTCCATGTTCCCCTTGCCTAGCCCGTATGTGCCATCACCTCAATCACACTCCTGCAACCTAACTGCACTGCACTCAGTGGCACTGGGACTGCGACGCGCCTAGTCTAGGTTTTTCCACTTCGACTTCCCTCTCTCTCCTCTCCATCCCATCGATCCAGCTTCTCCTCCTCCACAGGCCTGTTCGCGCATCTTGCATCTTGCCGCTTCTCAGCTGGCGTCCCCCAAGTCAAACCAATCTGTGGGGTTTGCCATTCTGAAGCTTCTTCGAGACGAATCAGCAGCTTACCCTAATTTCGTTGGTCCAGCTCTCAGGTTTTCTCTGACCACCAGATTTTCCCGCAACCAGATGTCGCCCTGAACGGAACGAATAGAGAGACCGCGCAGCTTCGATTCGTCAACAGAACCATCATAATACCCCTCGCGCCCTATCTTGTTTTCCTCCTCATTTTAATACTACATACCAATATTCCCCTTCTTTTATCTCGCCCTTTTGCAACCCGCTCCCACCCTCCACCGAATTGCCGGGAAGAGCCTTGCTTTTCTAAGAACAGGAACAGGATTTGGCTACCGAACTGGCGGGGGAACAGCTGCGCTATACTCAAGCTGCGGCAAGGCCCACTAGGCTCGCTTAGACGACCGTCTGATCTTCGATAGCTTGGCCTAACCCAACCATCTCGTCCTTCCAACCGCGACGCCCAACACCGACAAGATGGGTGTCGAAACCAAAAAGAAGTCGTCCGAGCGACCACTACCCGTGCCCAGCGCAACCGAATCGTCGATAATGAGCCCGACCCAGAGCGAGCTGGGAACCGAGGACAAGTCATCCTACTCGCTGCCTGAGGACGGCACCCCGGTCACCATCAAGACACACAATCGAGGCAAATCGCAGACCTCGCTCTTGATCGAGTATTTCGAAGGAGGAAAAGGAGCCCCATCTGGAGACGGGCGCAAACCCAGCGTACGTGTTCGCCTCACGCCAAGCCACAAGTCCAATCGCAAAAGCAGCGGTTCCAGTCGAGGTCGCATTGAAATAACAGAAGCAAAGTCAACGAGGAGATCGAGCCAGAGCCGCCGCGCCGATCGCCATTCCCAAAGCGCCCTTGCCCGTAGCGAAAATGAGTTGATGTCCGTCTTGAGCGGGGGCGACGAAGACAACAATTCGTACGCCTCTGCCACTGAGGAGAGTAGCGTTAGTCGCAATATCGAGATCGAAATCGGCGAACGAAGCGAACGTAGCGCCAACCGACGCCCCCGCCGCCCTGCCAGCCCTTTGATCCCATCTGCTGATAGCAAAAATAGCTACAATGCCGGCAACACGAGCGACATCTCGGCCATCCCGAGCGACAGTTTCCTTGACGAGCCTTACGTATCCCGCAAGAACTCGGATGTCAAGAGCCCTGGCTCCAGGAGCGTGAGCCCCTCACGCGGCGGGGATGCCCTTGCTGGCGCTGGTGCTGGTATCACAGCTGCTGCAGTTACTGACAAGCTCCGTACCAAGAGCCGAGATGAGAGCAGGAATCGAGAGTACGAGCGCGGAGAGCGCGAAAAGGTATCGGTGACCAAGACGCGCGGCGATAAAGAGAAGAGCGGCAGTAATAACCGCCTCCACAAGTCGACCAAGAGCAGGACCAGTAGTCTCAGCAAAGAGGAAAGGAGTTCGAAGCGCTCAGAGTCCCCACGCAGGAGATCCAAGCAATCCGATTCCATGGTATCGGGAGCGGATTCAAGCATGCTTTCGACTGCAGCTCCCAGCCAACGCTCCGTGGGTGCCGAGTCAATGCGCTCAGGTCAGTCAAAGGCCTCCTCCATCAACAATCCCAAGCTCCTGGAGACAGTAGAGGACGCCATTCGTCGCCTTATCCTTCCAGAACTCAATGCCTTGAAGAGAGAGCAGAGCTTGCGTCAGGATCGTAAGGCAGCCTCGACGACGTCAAGTGCGACGACGGCTTCTAGGGATGAAGGCAGTGATAGGCGCCGGACGTCTAGAGCTGACAGAAATTCGGGCACCACTCCCACACCCAAGGAGCCCATCAAGATTGAGAAGCGAGACAGAGAAGCCCGCAATGCCTTCGATGAGAGTCCGGCACAAAGTGCCCTCAGCCAAGACACGAGAAGCGATGTGCATGATATTGACCACAGCCCCACGGGAAGCGCTGACCGTCTAAAGACTGCTGCTGCCGGTGCGGCTGCTGCCCATGACAGCGTCAAATCTCCTGGAGAGAACCGCAGTAGGAGGCGAAGACGTGAGTTGCGGAATTCTGCTGGCAATGAGTATGAGGATTATGATGATGATGCCTCCTCCGACTTCCTCGCACCTGCTCCCCCTATGCCGTTATTGAGCGACCTCAACCCATCGGACGTCACCAGAGCCTCTATCTTATCTGCCGACACGGATGGTCCTCACTCGGCTAGCGAGGAGATTGCACCGAAGCAAGATCAGAATGGCCAGTACCACACCGAGGATTCCACTCCGACACCCACCCGGACCCCGATTACTCTACTGTCATTGGGTACTCAGCATGCCAATATTTCCCATGGAGACCTGAAACAGCTGCCACGTCAACGGGGTGCCGAGAACCAGGGCAACGACTACCACAGTGGCGCACCGTCTGTTGATTCCTATGATGATCTGGACGATTACGATGATCACGAGCGCGAATACGGGAATAGCCCATACGACTACTACAACACGCAAGAGGTGCCGCCTCCACTCAAGTATGTTCCTTACCAGCCTGAGAAGCGCGGTCTGAGTCCTATCCCCAGCGTCTCCGGATACACTGAAGGCAGTGAGGCGCCGAACCGTGATTCTCGCGCATTCGGCGGCTCGGTATCAAGCGGCTCCCGTACTCCTGAAAACATGTCCGTAGCCAGCTTGAGGACGGCGGGCATGGATCGAAGCAACGTGAGCGGAATGACCAATAGCGAGGTTGACGGTAATGGTCACGCTGTCCGTGCCGTTGGAGCCAACCCGAACTACGTCCACACCTCTGGTGTCGATTCCAACCATGCTTCGTTCGTTGAGGGCTCCGTGGTAGATTCGCTTAGATTTAGCGGCGTCAATCAGCAGCCATACCGCAACTCGATGGCTACCAATGGAAGCCAAGAGGCAGACAGGCCAGACACGGCTGGCAATGATAGCCAGGCCTCATACGACTACCAAGAGTATGACGTCGACGAGTATGGAAGGAAGGTCCCAAGACAGCGTCATTACACCACCGCCTCAGAGGCTGCTATTACCAGCGCTGCGGTTGGTGCCGCTGCCGCCGCCCTCAGACAGCAGGGTAAGCAAGAGAACCAGGGCACTTCGGAATGGCAAGGGGAGGGCGTTCAGCGCAACCAGTCCTTCAAGGAGCGCGCCCAGAACGGATCTGGACCCGCACTGCAGCCAAAGCACAGTGTCGACAGGATGTCGGACGTCTCTGTGCCCATCAAGTTGGGCTTCAGTGGCTTGCCGGATATCAGCAGCCCGTTGCCAGACTTCGAGCACTGGAACGAGGATGATCTGCTCACTAACCCATCGTTGCTCAATGGAGAGGAAGGTGGTGAATGGGAGGGAGATGCTACCCCCAAGCAGCGCCCCCAGTCGTCCGTTGATGACTTCAACTACCGTCCTCTTGACGGCACTCATGATGCTCTGCAAAAGGGTCTCAACCTCAGCGGCAACCAGCAGTCCGGTCAGGAGCAGGATGAGTGGTACAGGACTGACGAGGATCGGAAGCGCGATACTTTGGTCACCAACCCCTACGAGGATGCCAGCCCCATTGCCAACCTTGCTGGTCTGGGAGATAGTCTTCTTTCTCCTGGTGGTCGTGATAACTACGACAATGCCACTCGTAGCCCTGTCGGTCAGAAGGTCGATGAGGGATATATCTCCCAGGGACCTAACAAGACCCCCGATACTTCGATGGACAAGGGCAAGGGTCTCGCCTATGGCACTCCTCTCAACCTTGGTAGTGCTAAGAATCAGAATCCCATGGACTTCTTCGGCTCCGGTTCACGACAAGTTAGTGGCATGTCGGACGGAATGGACTCGCAGATGTATGATCCCGCCACTGGAACGGGAATTGACAAGATTGAGTCCAAGGATATCATGGCTTTGATGCAACATGTAAGTTTGAATAGTGCGCTCATGCTGAAGAAGTATGCCTGCTAACAGTTTGCAGTTGATGGTCCGCGATGCTCAGCGCAGTGCTCGCGATACCGAGATTTTGGTCACACTCGTTCGCGCCGCCACAGAGATGCGTAACAACTTTGAAGACCTCAAGCGTCTCCTTGCTGATACTGAGGATGTTATCATCACCGAAGTCAAGGAGAACACGGAGAAGACAGTCCAGCGCGCCATCAACGGCCCTCGTCCTTATCCTGGTAGCGCTCCTCGCTCTCTTCACTCCAACTCGCAGGCAGGCACTACCACTACGATGGACGAGATGAGCAACAAGAAGCAGAAGAACATCTTCCGCCGTGCTCTGATGAAGGGCCTGGGTCACAAGGGACCTAACGACCTCGGCAGGATTGAGGATATGCTGATGCAGCTCCTGACTCAGGTCGATGTGCTCAAGTCCCAGACTGTTCCTGGCGCTGGCTCTGTGCCCATGAGCCATCAGGATGAGCGTTCGTATGAGAACATGCAATCTCAGGGCCAATACGAGCAGGATCGTGGTTACGAGCCCGAGGGACATGCTGGAACTTCCACTAACAGTGCGTCTCAGTCCGGACAGCTGTCCATTCAGTCTCGGGGAACATCCGGCCAGCAAAACTTTGGCCGCAAGGTGTCCGGTCACAGGATAAGTACCGTGCCCGAGGACAACGAGGATGAGTATGACAATGAGAGCATTCGCTTTGGCGGGCCGGAAGTTTTGATGACCCCTGCGCAAGAACAGCGTTCTGGTTCGTTGCAAGCGACGCCTCGTGGGTCGCCGCCTACCGCTTCGGGCGCTCTTCAGATGTCGCCTGGTTACGAGAATACTCGGTCGCCTGCGTATGAGAACCCTCAGTCGCCCGCTTATGAGAAGACCAGGTCCCCTGATTACCAGCAGCAATACGAAAGTACCAGGTCGCCAGACTACCAGAATGCTGCTAAGCAAAACGAGGACCAGAAGAAGAAGGGAAGGTCGAGCTGGTTCAAGTCCCGGTGGTCGGAGAGCACTACAACTACCAACATTACTCAACTCTTCCGCCGCAGCGGCCAGTCACGCAAGGAGGAGGAAGACGAGCAGCAGTGGAGCCCAATCAGGCCGGCCGAGCAGCCTACGATGCCTACGTATCGCAACAACACGGTTTCGTCTCGCGCGGACTCGGTTGCCACCTCCGACTACTCGGATATGTTTCAGTTCTCCAACCCTCATCCCAAGCCCAAGCCCAACAACAACAACAACCCCTACTCGCAGGGACGTGGGCCAAGCCACGACGTTCACGAGGACCCCGAGTCCCCCGTGCTTGCGTACAACTCGATGCAGCCACCGCAGCCTAACTGGGTGACGATGACGCCCGAGGAAGCCAAGTACAAGGCTCATCGCAACTCGCTCAACCTGGTGCACCCTCAGCCCCGGCAGGGCCAGACGGAGCGCTTCAAGCAAGCGCTCGAGTCTCAGGCGCTCGGCTTCACGGGTGGCAACTCGCCCATGCTGAGCCCCAAGTCGGAAGACTGGGCCGGATCCGCCACCAGCCTCAACCGGCTGCCTCGCAACCTGAACCGCGATAGTTTCGACTCTCAGGGCAACGAGGCCAACCCGAACTGGCAGCAGATCTACGGCTCTTCATCGCCGGCTCCGGCGAGCCTCAACGCGACTTCTGGCGGACCTCCCAGGCCGCCTAAGGAGCCCATTGATGGCAGCACTGGCAGCGGCCCCAACAGCCCGAGCCAGGCACGCAGGTTGGAGAACAAGAACCTGAGTGGAGCGACGGGCCAGGTATCGAGACGGCCTAGTGGGCCCCGGCCAATGACGCCCTCGAATGATAGGGAGGGCAGGGGAAGTGGAGGAAATCTGAGCGAAGGGAGCAGAAGGACTGGAAGCTTGTTGAGGGATTAGAGCATGGGAGATGATGTGGTGATGAATGGTATGATGAAATCTAGACGATGGATGTCTAGGTGGATGTGATGGATGCGAATGAGACAAGATGGATGGATGAATAGATTTGTCTGATGTTGAAAGGAAGGGAAAGCAAGCGTGCGTGCGTGCCTGCGTTAGTTTATTCTTCTGGTTGAAAATTATTTGGGCGTTGTTTGTCACTTTGATGATACCAAGTCTTTACATGGCTTGCCAGTAACGTATAAATTAGCATTTCGTCTTTGTTTCTATGTCATGGTCATGATGAATTTTGACTGGGCTGTCGGATAGATTGAGCGTTGGGTTGGGTAGCTTAACGGTGGAAAAGGGCTGCTGGGTAGCCTTGTGCGGGATATAGTCCTCTCTGATATGACTGGAAAATAATGGGACAAGAGACCAGTTTCATTTCTGGTGCTGATGACGGATGGTTCCCGCTCACAAGTTGAAGCCAAGGAACCCATGCCCCAAACCCTAACCCGAATACATAGAGAACATGGCTGGTCCGAAGTCGCCCCTGGCATTTTTTGTGGCGGCAAATTCCCGCCCGAACTTGTCGATGTCATCGCCATGATCTCTTTCATCTCTTGTTTGTATCTTTTTTTCTCTGAAATTTTGGATGATACCCCCCGTCCTTCCGTCTTTACTTTGTCCGTCCGTTCGCAAAGCCGACCGCTAGACCCCGACTCTAGCAAAGGTCTAGAGCACGTCTTAGATTTCCTACGGATACCTAGGTTCCCACCTACCCAACCATTAATTGCGCGCGCAATGCCGACGACATCTTCCCAGTTGATGATTTAACGATAACCCAACGACAACAACGACGGAACGACCTAATTCACTGCAGTGCTCTTCTTGTCCATACCTATACTAGTTGTTCGACTGTTTATAATATGCCAGCCCAGACTTCTTTCCCTTCGCTCGCTGCGCTTAGGCGTCTGCAGACGCTCAACCATGTCTATGCGCCTCTCCGACGAACCGGCACAGGCAGGATAACGAACGGGTGGACGTGCGCAAGCTGTCGCAGCCAACTTTCTGCCTCTTCCGCTTCATCGTCTTCTTCTTCTTCTTCTTCTTCGCTTTCGGCATCCTTCTATAACTCGACACTTGCCCGACGGTCGTTTTCCTCAAGTTCGAAACGATCCAGCGACCAGAACTCGAACGGTTCTTCCTCTTCTTCTTCCTCCTCCTCGAACGCCAACGACAAAACAAACAACAACAATGGCCGACGAACAGTACTGCTGGCGGCTGGCGGAGGCGCAGCGGCCGCGGGATTGCTGGCGGTTGGAGACGATGTCAAATATACATACGAAGCGGTGGAGAGGACAGGGAGGGTGGCGAGCACGTTGGCGATATGCGTGAACGATTATCGGGTGACGTTGAACTCAAGGGAGAAGATTGAGGACCCGGAGGAGAAGCAGCGGTTGCTGAGGGAGTGTCATCAGCGGTGTGCGGATCGGACGTTGGAGGTGTTGGAGAAGAGTGGTGGAATATTTATCAAGTTGGGGCAGCATTTGGTTAGTACCTCTCTACATGACCTGGAGGACAGAGATACTTGTCATCTGGGCAGCTAGAAACACAGGATGGGAGAGACAATGCTAACGGACGACCAAACAGAGCGCAATGAACTACCTCCTCCCCCCTGAATGGACAACAACCTTCATCCCTCTCCAAGACAAATGCCCCGTCTCCTCCTTCGAGTCGATCGAGCGCATGTTCCTCGAAGACACCGGCACCTCGCTATGGGACTACTTTTCCGAATTCTCTCGCGAGCCCATCGGCGCCGCCTCGCTGGCCCAAGTCCATCTAGCCACCATCAAAGAAACCGGCCAGCGCGTCGCCGTCAAAGTCCAACACCCGTCTCTCCAGCGCTGGGCGCCCCTCGACATGCGTCTGACGTCGACCACCTTCAAGACGCTCAAGTACTTCTTCCCCGAATACGACCTCGAATGGCTCTCGTCCGAAGTCGAGATCTCCCTGCCCAAGGAACTCGATTTCACCTGCGAAGCCGAAAATGCCCGCCGCACCTCCCGCTACTTCGCCGAATTCGCTCCCTCTTTGCCCTTGGTCATCCCCGACGTTCTCTGGGCCAAGAAGCGTCTGCTGGTCATGGCGTGCGAATCAGGCCACCGCCTCGACGATCTGGCGTACATGGACGCCCACGGCATCGACCGGGACGAAGTCTCTGCCACGCTGGCACGCATCTTCAACGAGATGATCTTTGGCGAGGGCGCGCCCCTCCACTGCGATCCGCACGGGGGCAACATTGCCATCCGCCACCATGACAACAACATCAAATCTAAGTCCAACTTTGACATTATTCTGTACGACCACGGCCTCTACCGCGACATCCCCCTCCCCCTGCGTCGCTCCTACGCCAAACTCTGGCTGGCCATCATCGACGGGGACATCCCCAAGATGAAACGCTATGTGTACGAAGTCGCCGGCATCGGGGAAGACAAGTTCCCTCTTTTTGCTAGTGCCATCACCGGCCGCGACTTTATCAATGTCGTCTCCGCCACCGACAGCGGAGGCGTCCTGAAACCGAAAGAGGCATCGGAACAAAAGTCCATGTCGACGGCACTGCAGGAGGGGCTGATTGTGGATTTGGTGCAGATGTTGGGGCAAGTGCCGAGGATTATCTTGTTGATTCTCAAGACGAATGATTTGACGAGGGCGCTGGATGAGAGTCTGCATACCAAGCAAGGGCCGGTGAGGCAGTTTTTGATTTTGGCGCGGTATTGTATGCGTACTGTTTTCTACGAACAACTGGAGGAGATTAGGGAGCTGGGAAGTATTTGGAGCCCGGCGAATCTAGTGAGGCTGGTGGGCGCGTGGTGGGGGATGGCGAGGGTGGAGGTTAAATTGGAGGTGTTTGAGTTGTGGTTGAGGGTCAAGAGGGCTTTGGGGCTTGGGTCGGGGTTCGGGATGGGGATGGGGATGGGAGAGGAGGCACAACAACAGGTGGTGCCGGTGGGGAAGAAGGGGCAGAAGAGGTTGGAGAGGGAGGTTGAGGCTGCTGCTGCTGTTTCTGTTGCTGCTGCTGCGGCTGCGTAGGGCGTTGGTTGGATTTTCGGTGAATAGAAACCGGAGGACCGAAAGTGGGTACATACATGAACTCGAGTCGAGGCATTAGAGATAGAACTTTAGAAAGAAGTAGATGTAGATAGATACCTATTGTGTCTTGTTTTTTAAGTGCCTGATGGTTGCCAATGTTCACTTCGCCGTTAGTCTTGGTGGACTTGTTGCCAAGTAGTTCTAGTTTGTTTACATCCTGAAAAGGGGGCGTTGTGGTTCCACTTGTTGACCATCCCAGCAAGGCCCCATAACACTTCCTGTGATCTACCATACTTATTGCTGAGGACACTTCACATGTCGGAAACACGGGTGACCAAAGTTATCCGGCAGCCTGGCGTCGTCATCGTTATCCCGCGACGAGATGAATAGATGCCTACAGTCACGGTGAAATCCATCAAATACAGACACCTGTGTCGAAGTTCTTGGGCTGTTCTTTTAGGGATGAATCAATGTCCACAGAGTACTTGCCTGACTCCAGGAAGACCTTAGCAAGGGACAACAAACACACACCACTGCAAGCCCTTCCCCGCTTCGGACTTGGTGATCATTTGTGAAGTGCAAAGGTGCTGTCAGCCCTATGTACGCCGCCAAGAGTGATCGCTGTCCAGTCATTGGGATTTATACCGGGATGCTACTCTAGGCAGCCATTGTGGGATTGTTTACCTGGAGTCGCTGTACCCGGTATAATGTATAAGATCCGCTCTCATTTCCGTTCAACAAGACGGGTTTATGTTTTTAGTCATAAGTAGTCATCCTGAATTATTCACCATATATTCTTTTCCCGCGAAGACCACATCTCATCACCGTTTCTCCCCTCTCCAACTCTTTCCTCACAGGCCTCCTTCCTCTTTTTTACCGTTCTACTTTACCTACCTACCTACCTACCTTACTTCATCCTTACCCCAAGACCGTCATCACAATGATGTCCTCTGTCCTAGCCGAACTCCAAAAACTCGTCACCCCAACGCCGCCCCTGAACACGCAAAAAAACAAAGCCCATCATCAATCCAACCCCATCAAAACCACCTACGAGTCTCTCCCCATCGACCTACCTCCCGATTTCCTCGCCACCGAACCAGGCATCACCCCCGTCCCAACTCTCACAGAAATCGACTGGGCCACGACAGACTTACCTGAAAACAAGGGACTGTACGCCGTGGTATTAGACGGGGTGCTAACAAGAGACGAGTGTGACGAACTGCGCAAGTTGGCGGAGGGGAGCGTTCCGCTTGAGAAGTGGGTTGAAGAACAAGACTCTCCCAAGAAGACACCATGGGCACCTGCCCTAGTCAATGTCGGACTAGGCTACGAAGTGCTTACGCCCTCGTACCGCAACTCGTCACGGATCATTTGGGATCAGCAAGAGGTTGTGGATAGGCTGTGGGCGCGGTGTTGCTTGGTTCCTGGGTTGATGGAGAGACTGGCGGTGTTGGATGCGGGGAGGGAGAGGGATGTGAGGATTATTACTGGGCGGTCGTTGCCTTGCCCTGCTGCGGATGAGGGGGATGGAAAACAAGAGGTGGAGAGGTATGCTAATGGGAAGAAAAAGGGAAGGAGTAAGCGGACTAAGACAAAAGGGTTGAGGGATGGGAGGACGGGCAAGTGGGAGTTTGTCAAAGTTAATAAGCGGATGAGGTTTTTGAGGTATGGGGAGGGGCAGTTCTTTAGGGGTGAGTTTTTCTCATTCCATGCTTGGTTGCACGGGAATAGGTACCGAGCAAACTGAGGCTGACACTGACGATATGATGTGATGTGATGGGACATATAGCCCACTGCGACTCCCCTTACCGTGAACTGGACCCTATCAACTCTGACCGAATCAACGAGACGATGTTCACCATTCATCTCTACCTCAACGACTGCAAGTCAGAAGCTCCGCCCGATAAAAAGGACGAGACGGAATTGGTCGGTGGTGCCACGGCGTTGTTGTCCGGGGACGAAAAGAGGAAGTATGATGTTGAGTGTAAGACGGGGAGGGTGCTGATCTTCCAACATCGGAGGGTGTTTCATGCGGGCGCGGATGTGGTGAAGGGGGTCAAGTATAGTGTTAGGACGGATATTATGTATCGTGAGGTTTTGGAGGAGCCAGAGAAACAGGAGGTGGTGGAAACAAGCGAGCAAGCTGAGAAGGAGGTAGATGATAAGGAGCCGCTGAAGGAGGATGATAGTGGGAAGTAGGCTTAGTCGTTTTTCGTATTTTTTATACTCTTCTCCAGCTCAAGCAATCAACCATCATCTCCCCCGAAGAACTAATTCCACCCCCTCAGGCCTAGGCCAAATCCCCCTCAAAGCCTTGATAGTCTTACACTCGGATTTATGCGCAATCCACCTCCTAGTCTGACACTCCTGTTTTGTTTGTGTTCATATTCATCAGCCTCGTCTCTCTCTCTTTCGTCTTCCCCATCATCATCATCATGTTTTTTGCGGAGAACTCACCTTGGAACAATACCAAACCTCCACACACCCCTGGCACCTCTTCAACCCCCCCTCTTCTTCTTTTCCCTCCGGCGTCACATACCCATCAAATTTCCCATCGCACATCTTCTCCTCTCTATCCCCAGGCAAACTCTCATCCCGCTGTCTCAAAATATCCATCATCACTCTAGTCAGGAACATCCCAGAAGGAACAACGCCCAACAGTTCCCCTTCCCCTTCCTTTCCCTCCCCTTCCTTCCCCTCTCCTTCCTTCCCCTCCCCTTTCCCCTCTCCTTCTCCATGAGTAAGCAAACGCCCCAAAGACCTCAAAACCACAAACCCCTGCCCTTCTTCCCTCCCCGCTGCTTTTTTGGTGGTTCTCCTCGCATTCTTGATGATAACCGTATTTCCCTTTTTGAGACCGAGCTGTTTGAACTTATCAGCCACGGCATCGGGGGTATACGGCCCGGAGGAAACGACAGCGGAAGGGGGATCAAAGACGAGCGCAAAGTCCTGCGAGGCGGAGTCGGTGAGGATCAAAGTGGGTTTGGTGATGGTGAGGTTGGATTTGATGGTTGCGAAGAGATAGGTGTCTTGGTTTGTCTGGTGGTCGGGGACTGTCTCTGGCGGGGAGGGGGAGGAGGAGTCGCCAGAAAGAGGGAGGGAGGAGAAGGTGGTTAGTTGGGTGGGGGAGGGGATGGGCATTGTTTGGTTTTGCCGTTTTTGGAGGTGTGGTTAGGTTAGGTTAGGTACTGTCGAAAGCTTTGCTGAGATGGGTCAGGGGTATATGATCTGATGTCGGATGTGAGTAATGGAGAGGGAGGAAGTGTTGGGATGTCTATGTTGAGGGGATGTTCTGAAGAAATATTTCTGTAAAGCCGATTCCAATCTTGGTTTCTTCTAGGTGGTCATCACCCCCGGCCGTGCGTAGTCGTAGGGGGGTCAAGCCACCATGAAACATCTCCATGCTGAAAACGAGACCGCGGGGATTAAAGATATTGAAACAGCCCTAAATCTTGGCGGCATCCCCGCTGTAACCTCCCTACACGCCTCATTGTTGCAACAATGAAGAGGACCTCGAGAGCCAGTCAACATTGCCCACACAGTACGCTTCAATCCGCCAAGTTCGGAGCCGCAGGAGTATCCCATCGTGAGACGCCATCAAGAAGTCCAAGCATCTTGACGATGTATTAAGGTTCGGGGTGGCGTCACAAGACGATCACGGGCGGGTGGGTACGGCAGCCGGATAGAAGAGACTTGGATATTGTTCGACGGTATAAGTAGGGACGCTGAGAGGGGCATTTTTACATCTGTGATTTGAGTATACGAGCCTTGACTAGGGGATCACGATCTAGACAGCCATAATTCGTGAAGTACATCCCCAAACGAAGTGAATACCATGTAAGCAAGAAAATGCGCTTTAGCTCGAGACCTTCACGGACAGCAAGCCAACAATTTTCTCGATAGGTCAACTTCCTTCAGTTCTTCAATTATCATGCTCTAGGTTTCCTCCCACCTGAATCATAACTCATAACATCATGTGAACCGAGAACGCCTTGCCAACCCTGCCTGCTAACGCGAAACTCCCTGCAAAATGAAAAATGTGACATCGGAGTCCTCTCAAAAACAGACACCCTTTGGTCTGCGAAATTATCGCGACTCCAAAGAAAAAGATAAAGGAAAAAGAGACCTCCCACCCAGCCGTCAATCCATCCTCAAACCCTCCCCACGTTTTCGGTTCCTTCAACCAAAGTATCATCACTCCCAATCGTGTGCCCCTCATCTCTCTTCATCTTCCGCAACCTTCCCCTCGGCACCAAGATCTTCCTGCCTTGTGGACGTTCCTCGCGAGTAGTATGGGGTTGGCCTTCCTATTTACCAATGCCCATCCACACAAACGTGCCCAACGTCGAAGCCGCCAACAGAAACGTCACAATGCCCGCCCCCGCCTTATCCGCCGTCGTCACCGGTTTATCATGCGTAAAGCTGTCGCTCTGGCTCCCCGCATTCGGGTTTCCCTTGCTGGTTCCACCGGTACTATTGGTCACTGGGGCCTTTCCGGGTTGTTCAATCAACAAGGAAGAAACCGCTCCCAGGACATTCATCTGCTGACCCACCCCGTGACTGCCGTCGTACTTTTTTTTTTTCCAGCTGAACCCGCACATGCGGCCGTTTTGTTCGCCGGTGCACGTTTGGACAGCGGCTTCGGCCGAGGTCTTGAGCACGGGCAGGATGACGGGGGCCGTATGCGGCGCGATTTGCGTGGTGATGGATAGCCAGCGGTGCACGTAGCCCTTGAAGGAGAGCATGTCGGTTGTGCAGCTCATTTGGTCTTCGCAGGCGGGCTCGAAGGCGATATTGTCGGGGAAGAAGCGGACGAGGGTGGCGTTGATGAGCTTATCGAGGCGATCCTTCCAGACGGGGGAGCCGTCGGTCTGTATAGTGTTAGTCTAGGGGGGATAAACAAGACGGCATATATGTGGAGCACGAACATAGTTGTACATGTGGGCGGCGCCGAGGACAAAGACGCCAGAGTTGTAGGAAAACTGAGCATTGTTGATATCGGTGCAGTTCGTTTCGACGTGAGCGCCGTCGTGAATGCTGTAACTGTCGTCCATGAGCCCGACACCCCTCATCCAGTCCCACGTCGTTTCGGCCCAGTCGGCGTATGTCTTGTTTCCGGTGTAGCGCGCCAGTCTGGCGCCGAGGTTGAAGAAACAGCCTGCACCGTATTGGGTCAGCTCAAGATCCAGAAGATTCAGCGAGTGCTGTTGTCACGCACCATTGGCAATGCTGTTCTTGTAGTTGTATCCGTTGTTGAGCGGGGGAATCTGCCAGCGCAAGCCACCATTGCAGGTTTTATCGTGTCTATCGGGGTTTGCCTGTGTGTTGAAGACAGCCTGGGCGAGGCCCAGCCACTGTGGTTGATCGGCTGGTGGATTAGGAAAATTGTTTTCGGCGGCTGTCATGGCCGTCATTCCCCAGAAGCCCTGATCATCGTTTCCTAGGGATGCGGTCACGTTGAGTGGCATGTAGTCCTGTCCCGGACCGACCTGCCAGAGGAGGGCTTGGGTGATAACATCGTTGTATGACGCGTCGCCTGTGAATTTCCAGTAGTCGATCAGAGCTCCCCACATTGCGCCAGCTTCCCACCAGTAATAATCACCGGCTGGAGGAGGGCCGGGGAGGATTCCTGGTGTTTGTCCCGTCAAGTTCCCTTTGTAGTATTGCATCATGTCGAATGCGATGTCGGCTGATGTCTTTTTGATGTCGGCTGCGCACGTCTTCTGTCAGCACTCATATGCCATTTTCTGCGTTTCGGGGATAAACGAGCGTACCGACTGTCGCGATACTATAGGCGGCATTTGCCATGTCAAGCCCAACAAGGGCGACGGCGGCAAGCCGTGGTAATGTCCGAAGCATGATGATGATTGTGGGCTGACAATAGCGAGCGACTAGAAACCGAAATCAAAGAAACGAGCGTGGTGATTGATGAGTGTTGGTTGGTTTTGGATTAGATGGCGAGCATCGGTTATCGGGCTTTGAGGTTCGTTGCTGTGGTAAGGACGCAGGTGATGGATGGGGAGGGAGCGGGCAGGTGATTTGGGAGAAAGTTTCGTTGTAAGTGCTACCATACCCTACTACTGCTCCACCGGTTATCAACCTACCTCAGTAGAGGAGGTTTGCAGTAGAAGTGCAGTGCCTTTGTGTGATGACCAGTGGTTCTGCCGGTGTGACAGCTACTACATCCGTGTTGTTGCCGACGAGGAGATGCCGTGCCCGGATGGGATGGGCAACAACGATGGATCGATGGGATAAACAGGATGTGATGATTCCAAGGTACCAGGGGAGTATTTAGCATGTACTTGGAACGCTCCGGGCCCAACACACACAATACGAGGGCGGATGACGCATGTCTAACACTCATGTCAGGAACAGGGTATATCACTAGCAAGGTGGGTCGGTTTGATCAAGTTGATTGCTTCTTCTGCCGATAGGTAGTGTAGTGTAGACAGAACCAACGTGAGGTGATCCCGTCATCTACTATAGTATGTATCTAGGTTTGATGGTAAGTTGGTTGTTACTCGACATTTCTCGACACGAGAGCAGTTGGTTTGTCTGGTTCTTTATTGAATTTGTATTTTGAAGAAATTTCAGAAACAAGCTTCCTCGCCACGCTTGTGCCGGACTCGGCTTGCTTGGCGATCTCCTGCCAAGGACACCATGATCAACAAGCTCAAGGGCACAAGACGCTGTCCTGGCTCTGTCGTTGGTCAGTCGTTTCAATCCCGGACAGACAAGAGAAACAGTTCTGCGAATGAAAGACGCAGTCGACGTTGACCAACAGCTGAAAGCGGGCACTTTTTCCGCTTGCTACCCGTGCAAGCCGTGCTACCCCCATATCCAGGGTTAGGGCCAAACTGTGGAAAGTGGAGCAAGCAGAGGTTACCTCCATGGTAGGTAAGTAGTCCTCTAGTGTACTGGTTCCAACCCCACGCGGGGGAGCTGGAATCCTAGGTAGACCCCAGAACAGACCTAGCGGGAGCGGGAACCCCAAGCCCACCTCCAGGGTGGTCTTCCTTCAGTTCTTGTCCATCTTGCCCCTACACATGTACATTACGACAACTCACCCCTTAGAGACCTCAGCAGTCTTTCCGTCACCTTTGTCGAGTACAACGCCATTGATTCGCCCAAGATGTTCGTCTACACAAACCTTACCTGCCTACCAACTTGAGGTTCCCCTCTCTTGTGCATCAATCTGCTGCGTGACAACAAAGATGGCGAATCCACCTGCTCATGCACGTCTCTCCGAGGTAAGAAAGAGACATAGCGCAATGTGGGAGATGGACATGATGGGACGGATCGCGATCTTGGCTTCAGCTCCAGCTGTTCAGTTACCCCTCAGCGTCAGAGCTTCGTAACAAAACCACGACAGTCGACCAGCCTGCTTCTTCCCCCAAACATCCAACACTAATCACAACAACAACAACCATCACCGGCAGCCATCTTCACAGACGGACGGACGGCCACCAACCTCTCAAGATGAACACAGCCTGGGTTGGTGCTCGCTCGTCGGCGACACCCTCGCAACTTGACGCTCTTGCTCGCGCCATCCGCATCACGCCCATCATCGACCACCATGCCCATCCTCTCCTGAAGCTTGAAGCCCTCGCCAAACACCCTCTCCTGTCCATCACCTCCGAGGCACACAATGGAGATGTTGTCCACTCCGCCATCCACTCACTCCCCCATCTGCGTGCCGTCCGACAGCTGTCTGGAATGCTCAACTGCAACAACACATGGGAGGATGTCGTCGCCGCCATTGAGCAGAAGCGCATCGATTCCCCCTTGGAATGGACCGCCCAGTGTCTGGACGGCATTGAGACATTACTCCTCGACGATGGGCTCGACGACGGCGATGATGCCCAGGACATGGTCTGGCACAATGACTATACCCGCTCCGAGTGCAAGCGAATTGTGCGTATCGAAAAGGTGGCTGCCGATATCATCAAGAGAATTGGAAAGACCTGTGATGCTTCGCCAAGGACCGGCCAGGATGTCTTGAACGATGCCTACGACGATTGGGTTGGCGAGTTGGACACCATCATCAACGAAGCCATTGACGATCCCGATGTGGTGGCCTTCAAGTCCGTCATCTGCTACCGTACCGGCTTGCAAGTCGCCAGCACCGTCAACGAGGTCGAAGCTCGTGCTGCCTTTGCCGACATCATTTCCAACTTTGCCCTATTGGACTTTGCCAAGCTACAAGTGGCCGCTCTCAACGACTTGGTTGTTCACCGTACGGCCATGTTGATCCGCGATAGCCCATCCAAGCAGAAGAAGCCTATTCAGTTCCATACCGGCCTGGGCGACAATGACATTGTACTTGCCAAGTCATCCCCAGCCCATCTGCAGAACTTCATCCGCGCCTATCCAACTGTGCCCATTGTACTCCTTCATGCGGGATATCCCTTTATGAGGGAAGTGGGTTATCTTGCCACTGTGTATGAGCATGTATATGCGGATATCGGCGAGGTCTTCCCATGTGTTAGCGAAGATGGCCAGGAGCAGGTCTTACGACAGATTCTCGAGCTTTGCCCCTGGTCAAAGATCTTGTGGAGTACAGATGGTCACTGGTTCCCCGAGACCTACCTGCTTGCCGTCACCCAGATGCGTGAGGTGTTTACAAATGTGAGCTGGAAAAATGTAGCTGCAGAAGACCAAGGCTAATAATGATCACCAGGTACTTACTAACTACGTCCGCAAAGGTCACATTGGCTACAAAGCCGCCATCGACCTCGCCCAGGACATCCTCTTCCGAAACTCCAATAAGCTCTACCATCTTGATATAGACTTTATGGAGCTCGATGAAGAGCCCGGTGCCGAGGTCGGACCCTACGCAAGCGACCTTGAACTTTTCCAACTCTTCCTGAAGGACCAACCGCCTCCTGACTTTGTCCGTATATGCTGGAACGACTACACTGCAACCCCGCGAATGCGCATGATCCCCTTCCGCAAGTTCAAGACCCTGCTTGACCAAGGTCAGCCAACCGATATCTCCATCGCACAAGCCGTGTTCGGTCTCATTCAGAACGATCATCTTGTCCCCTCCATCGCTCCTATTGGAGAGTATCGCCTGCACCCGGACTTTTCTTCGCTCCGCCCTGGTCCTACCGAGGGACATGTGAGCATGTATGGCGAGTTCCGGGAGAAGTCCGGTGCCCCCGTTGCCCTGTGTCCCCGGTCACTACTGCAGAAGGCCGTTGACTTGGGCGCTCAGAACGGATTAACCTTCTTGCTTGGGTTCGAGATTGAATTCCTTTTGCTCGAAAGAGTAGAGGGTGCCGATACCTCGGCAACCCTGTCTTTGAACTCTTTGAATCCGTTCAAACACCGCCCAGCAGAAGCATCGGGTCGTTTCAGCACCTTGGTCACTGATGGTCACGCCTGGTCTGTGTCTCGCTACTTTGCCGACCCCAAGGTGGCCAACCTCTTGCGCGACATAGTTCATGCTCTCGACTCAATGGGCATCTACGTCGAGCAAATCCATGCCGAGTCCGCAACGGGCCAGTTCGAGCTCATCCTTCCTCCTTACCCGCCCATCCAAGCCGTCGACACCCTCCTCCACACCCGCGATGTCATGTTTGCCCTCGCCACCGCTGCCGGCTACAAAGTCACTCTCCATCCCAAACCCTTCCCAACCGCATGCGGCACCGCCTCCCACACGCACATGAGCATCTCCTCACCCGGCGGCGACAAGCCGGAAGTGTACGAACCCTTCTATGCTGGCATCCTCAAGCACCTTCGCGCCATCACCGCCTTCACCTACTCCAACCCCGCCTCCTTCGAACGCCTCAAAGATGGTGCCTGGGCCGGTGGCCGCTGGGTGACCTGGGGCACTCAGAATCGAGAGACCCCTCTCCGCAAAATTGAGGGCTCACACTGGGAGTTGAAGGCCATGGACGGTTTGGCCAATCCTTACCTCGCCATGGCTGCCGTGCTACTGTCTGGTATCCACGGGTACATGGAACGGGAGAAGTTAATCTGGGGAGACTGCGAGATTGATCCCGCGAAACTGACGCCCAATGATCGGGCGGAGTTGGAGGTGACGGACATGTTGCCTGCTAGCGTGGAGGAGGCATTGACAGCGCTGAAAGGGGATGAGAAGCTTGTCGAGTTTCTCGGACCGGAGGTGGTGGAGAGATATTGTGCTGTCAAGGAGTTTGAGATGGCTTTCTTGGCGGAGATGGGAGAGGAGGAGAGGAGGAACTGGATTATGGAGAGGTATTAGGAGATCTTCTGAGTTCATGGGAGGTGATGATCCGGTTGTTGTGTAGCTTACTGTGCAACCAGAGACGTGTATCTCTCGGTAGTGGCGGAAGAATGCATTGAGAGAAAAGAAACAGCCCGAAAGAGGCTTCAAATACTGGGACGATACTCAAACACCGAACGTGACAACAGCGGAATTAAGGTGGAATATCACTGTCACATATACACAAACATTGTGGCTCTCGAGGCAAGTCCTTCTTTCAATGTCTCATCTTTTTGTCATTTTAACTCGCAAAATAACACTTGGGAGGTAGAATCAGTTTTTGCGATACTATTTTACACAGTCGGTATAATCAGTGCAAACCGTGGCGAGCAACTACTAAATCCAAACATATACCATCTTCCCATCCCCATCGTTAATTAAACCCATTTCCTTGATGATCACTCACCTCCGTCTGTTCAGGCCACTTCATTCCTTCCACCCAGCACATCCCCACGAAGCGCAATCGCTCCATGCCAAAATGCCCTGTACATTGGGGATTACCTCCCCTCTCCAGACTACCTATCTATGCTTGTCAAAGATTTCCACCCCGGACCTGATAGAACCTCGAGCGGTAGTCAACGGCATGATAGCACACACACCAAAATGTACACGGTAGCACTCATCTCTTTTTATCATTGCTCTGGGGTAGAAATACAAGACTATGTATAATTTTCAGTATATGACACTCCGTATAAAAAAATATGTGCCCATCGTTGACATACGTCTAATCATACATCATTACATAACAGCTAATAAGCTACAAGAGAACATTAAAATCAACCAGGCTCTTTTCCCAAAACCTTTCACACCACCCCCCCCGTCCGTCTACATTATGTACATTTCTTTCTAACTCTTTTATTCCCAAGCAGACCCCATCGGCGTCAAGACAATATCATCAAAGACAGTCTTCTTGCCTCCATCGCTGGTGATCCTAATGTTCTTGGACTCCTGGTAGCGCGGGAACACCCTGACAGTCATGGCGGTTCCATCACCAACAAACACCTCGATACTCGAGCGATCAATCAGGATATCCAGCGACAAACGGTTGTCAGCCGGCTTAGCAATGGTGGCAGTCCACGTACCAGCCTGACCGTATCCAGCTTGCGTAGTGTCGATGGTCAACGACCGGTTGGCAAAGTTGTAAACAAGAGAAGTAGACTCGGCACCGGAAGCAAACAGCTCAATAGTGAAGGCGGGCGCATCGCTAGCGGCCAAGTCGACGGTAGCCTGCAGGCGCGCCGTGTCTGTGAATCCAACCTCGTAGGTTCCAAAGACGTCCGTCTGACCAAGCGACTTGGCAGGGCCGCTCGCCAAGAGCGACACTTCCTCGACGGGCTTCTGGCCGAGCCCGCCGTCTTCGCGGATGAAGAGCTCGCGCATGATGGACTGCGTGCCGGCCCAGCCGTTGACCCTGCTAGGCCACTTGGTGGTGTTCCAGTTGTTGATCCACGTGACGGCCAGGTTGCGGCCGGCGTCGTCGACGAACCACTGCGTGGCGTAGCTGTCGGGGCCAGAGTCGAACAGACCCAGCTTCTCGGAAACAAAGGTGGTTCCGTTGAAGGAGCCGACTTCGTACCACCCCTTGAACCCCTTGTCTTGGCCGTAGAAGAGAACCCACTTGTCGTCAATGGGGAAGAAGTTGGGGCACTCCCACATGATGCCCCGGCTGCCGTCGCCTTGGTGCAGCACGCCGACGTACTCCCATGAGAGAAGCTCGGATGAGGATGGGCCGGTGGACTTGTACAGCTGGACGTTGCCGGTGTGGCCGTCACCGGAACCGACGACCATCTTCCAGTTGTTGGCGGTGGGGTCCCAGAAGACCTTGGGGTCACGGAATCCGGCGGAAGCGCTGGGAGGCGCCTCGGCCACGATGGGGTTGCCGCTGTAGAGGTCGAAGTGGATGCCGTCGGAGCTCACGGCTGAGGAGACGACTTCGGGCACGGCGTGGGGGTGGTAGGCTACGTTGGTGGCGTCGGTGAAGATGAGTTGCAGAGCACCCGTGTCTTGGTTCTTGACGGCGCTGCCTGTGTAGCGCCCGCTGGTGTCCTGCGTGTTGTTGACATACGGCGGGGTCAAGGCAACGGGCAGGTCCCTCCAGTGTACGGCGTCAGTGCTCTCGGCGTGCGACCAGTACATGGGACCCCAAAGAGGAGCGACAGGGTTATACTGGTTGAAGAGTTGGTATTTGCCGCCCCACTGGATCAGACCGGCAGGGTCGTTGATCCAGCCCTGGTAGGGAGTGTAGTGATATTGCGGACGGGTCGGGTCAACTGCGTAGCGGGAAGCAGCTGAGAGAGCGGTGAGGTTCTTGGTGGGCTGATTGCTCTGTCCAAGGATGTTGAAGGTGTGTGGGCCGTCCTTGAGGGCGTCGCAGCCGGTTCGGACGTCGTCCAGGCTGATGTGGCCAGTAGTGCTGGTATCGACCACAACCATGTAGACGTTCTGGCCGGCATAGGCACTGGTGTCCCAGACGATGCGGATGAGGGCCTCGTCGTTGGTTGCGGTCTGGCTGAACAGGAGAGTGCCGTCTTTCTCCAGGACAAGTCCCACGTAGAGATTGGCGGGATCGTAGTTGCCACCGATCAGGAAACTCATGACGGAGCTTGCCTTGAAGGTGCTGGAGCGGAGTGTCCCAGTGGCGGCTTCGCCATCTTGCAGATTTGTCGAGAGGAACTGCTTGCCGACTTGCTGCGAGGAGGCAGCTGTGGTGACAGAGGATTTGCCAAAGGCTGTTCCATTGACGACTGTCCAGCCCGACAGGTCGCCAGTTTCGAAGCTGGGGTTCTGGGGGCCTGGGTATTGATGCCTTTGGCATTCTTGTGTACGAGGCAGTACGGAAGCCGTAGTACCATCAGGGAGGACCGAGGCTAACGACAGCAAGCCAACAAGGGCGTTTTTATATGGTGTTGTTTTTGTCATGTTTGGAAAAATGGGCTCAAGACTCTAGAAAGATGGGAGAAAGAAGCTGCTATGGAGCGAGGAGGTAAGACAGACGATCTTGATGAGGCGTTGAGCCTCACTTTAATACTAGTGAGATGGTCCCCCGTGGGGAAGCTACAGAAAACACCCTATGACGGATTCGTTCCCAAGTCCGCCCCCCCAATCCCAACTACACTACTTGTCTGTCAACCCACGTTGTGTGCGGCGTTGCCCGTCATGGGCTAACCCTCATGAGCCTGGCGCTGTCTCTCCTGATCGGGAAACCAAGTCACGACTAACATGGCTCGGCCAATGTTAGCGCGGATGCCGATTGGCTTGATTGCCCGGTGTCGGCCCGGGGACACCATCTTACCCCGAAGTCTCTCCGTCTCTTCCCCACACCGCTGAGTCCTCGCTTACATACTGTCAGCGATGCTGCGGTACCTTTGTCCATCCATCGGTGAGTTCGAAGTGCTCAAGTTACGACTGGTGACTAGGGGATATTTTGAGGACTGGCTCTTTTGGTCATCTGTGGAAGTACCGTGTACACTACAAAAAAGGGGGCCAAAAAAGGGGGGGAAAAGAAACCAAACCAAAAAGAAAAACTCTTCAGAAAAAGAAGATGTAAATAACATCCACAGAAAGAGTAGCGATCATCACAAACAGTTGTCACTCTCAAGAGTCTTGGGGGTTCTTGGAGGCTCAGCCAAGGGACCGAACAAGCGCCGAAAAATCCACAAAAATCAGCTTGGTCGACGACGGTAAACGAAGCCGAAAGGTTGCGCTTCCAGTGCAAAATGTTTCTCAAATTCCATTGCCGTGGTCCGCAGCTAGTCTTAGCGTGGTAAAATGCGGGCAAAAAGTGGAGGAAGGCGGGGCCCCAGAATGGGGTTGCGGGGATTTTGGTTCTCGAAGGGTGGCTGGAACGTTGACCTGTGCAACCAATGAGGTGTGGTTCCAAGCATGGTCCGTGCACGAGTTCGAATATATCCAATCAACTTTAACAGAATCCAATACATTGGATTGAGTGCCATGGCTCGCTGCAAATGACAAATGGCCAAGTTCACGTACTGACTTCCATTGCCCTCACTTGTTTGTGTGTGTGTGCGTGTGAAAACTCGGCGGGCATGGGCCAAATAGGGGCTTTAAGAGAATACGAAGAAAAACTACTCTAACAATGACAATAAAATCAAGCATCGGTGTGCTCACAGTAGTGTGTATATACCTTCACTACAGTTGAGGCGACAAAGTCTGGACTTTGGCAGTGGTGTGGTCCGTCAGGGGGTGGTGGGCATGTGACCACAAAACGCTTTGCCCAGGGTGAGGACCCACCAATACGCGTACCGTACAAAAGTGTACGCTACCAAACTACTGCCCTGGCAGTAGGCTTGCACAAGCAGAACAAGCCATCGGTGTTGTGTAATGTATACTACCTACGCAAGCCCAAAACGTGATGGGGTAGCATTCATCAAAAGTCGGTTTGAGAGAAAAAGGAAGCTAACAATTCATGGGCGCCCCTGTTAAGGGACCAGTCTAATTGCCCGAAGATTCCGAATCCACGTGACCCCAGAGCAAAGCTCCGTCCTCGGAACCGAACTGCCTCCACCACGAACTTTCCACTCTTCGGGAGTTGTGAATAGCCTCATATTCGTCCTCTCCTTACCTATATAACGTAACTTTCTCCCCAATGTCCATTCCTACCCGTTCATGCTTCTTCAACTCTTCAAGCTATGCCACCTTACATCTACTTCTTCATTTGCTGTTACTGGCGACCACTACGGCCTACCCCGATATTCCTATGATTAATATGCAGCCTCCTCTTCACCCCTTTTTGTTGACATGTTCAACTTCACAAGACCATGGTGTATGGCTACTGTGAACCACCTGCGGTCCGACCCATGCTGGTTGAGACTTTGAATGTGTAATGTCTCTGTTCGTCTCCCACACCCAGTCCCCAACCTCAAAATGTCTCTTGGGCTCTTCCTCATTCTCTCCTTCTTTTCTCCGCTCTTCCTCATTCTCTTATTTTCCCTCCGCTCTTCCTCCTTGACCTTGTAACAGGACCCCGAGCCTTGCAGCGAACTTGTACAAGACGGCGTAGAGGGACAGGAGGTAGGCAAGAGCGAGACTAAAAGCGACGGAAATGGGGATAGCTTCAAATAAATGAAAGTAGAGATTGGCTGCGTGTCCAAAATAAGTGGGAGATTGATCATGATGTGTTTGGCGGTCGGTGTCTTTTCTTTTTTGGCAGATGTGGCACTTCTTGGCGGAGCAGCCGCTGTCAAACAAAACAAAAGCCCCACAACGGGACAGCGAGCCGAGTCTCACTTCTATGACAGCAAATGGTGGAGACCAGCATCCACTTAGGGATATAATTGACGTCACTGACGTCATATTCAATCGAGATCACCTCTGACAATTGTTCAGGAACAGCTTGAGGAAGGCATATAAGAAACCACTTGATTGCTCTTCATAACCTTTCTCTTGACAGATCAGAACACTTCAAACATTCCCAATCAAGCAAAATCACCAAAGCCAAAACGCCCAGCGCAGAAAACCCCTTCAAATCACCTCTTTTTCTCTCCCGTCTAAGCAGAAAACCACCATCAGTAAGTTTCCTCCTTCTCGAATACCCTCACATATCAAGTAAAACACACACTAATACCCACCCAGAAATGTCCAACGAGTCCAAGGCCGAGAAGATCGAGAGGGTCAAGGCCAACCTGCCCCTTCCCGAGGAGCCCCCCGTCGCCCCCGACTGGCAATCCGCCGACTCCCGCACCGTCGACGTCGGCAGCGGCCGCTTCTCTGGCGATGTTTCCAAGGGCGAGGGCGCCTCCGCTGGCCTCCGTGAGCCCGCGTCTACCGACACGACCAATGTCGACTTTTCCAAGGTTGGCAAGGACGAGGCGCAGTACGTTGGCAAGGGCCAGAAGGAGTCGTCTTCGTAAAGACATCAACACCAGAAAAAGGACTTTGATTTGAACATCATCAGCACCACCTCTGGGAGGAATAGAAGTTTATAGAAGAGCATTATGATGACGATGTGGCGGATGGACGGGGAAGAATCACTCTGGAAGGAATTCACGGACACCGGCGGATATTCATCATTGCACTACATGGCGTTTGTTGGGGATTTGAGAAATTTACGGTTACGAACGACGACATGACCTAGGATTAGGATAGAATTGGGTAACGACACGCTTCTGGAAACGGGGTGGTCTACCCGTTTGAATGCGAATGCATTTACACAAATATCTTTTCGTGTGCTAAGTATACTTGTGATCCCATCATTACGTCGTGTCATCGTGATAACTACCTCTTAGTACTAACTAGGACCAAACCCCGGCGGAAGAGGCGGAGGAACCATCGTTCCCCTCCCCGCTCCCCCGCCTGGAGGAGCAAAAGGGAAGAAAGTCGGCGGCCCACCACCGCTTCCTCTTCCCATCATTCCGGGAGGCGGAGCCCCTCCTCTTCCTCCTCCCGGGGGGCCGAAGCCGGGTGGAAGTGGAGGAGGTGCACCTGGGAACTGTGCTGGTGGTGGCGGTTGTGGTGGGAAGGGGAACGCGCCGGGCGGTGCAGGTGCTAGTGGTGGAGGCGCCGAACCACCACCTCCGCCACGTTCTTCCTCGTCGATACTATCTGGATGGTAATCATCTTCGCTGTGTTGATCCTCCTCGTGCTCGGAATGGGAGTGGTACGAATGATCATCGCCTGATTCATGATCGGAATGCCGGTCGGATTCACTGCCTGAACGACTACCGCTGGCACTCGCCCTTCGCATTCCATGGCCGCCAAACATTGGTCCTGGTGGCGGAAGAGAACCTGGAGGCCCTGACCCGGAGAATGGTGGAAACGGAGGTGGTGGTGGTATACCGGGCATCGGCGACACCGGAGGCCGGAATCCTCCTGGCCCAGCTGCTGGAGGCGGTGGTGCGGGAGGAAAGATATTGCTCGGTCGCGGCGGTCCTGGGCTTGACTTGCTACTACTGCTGCTCGCAGGAGAGCGTGAAGGGCGACGGGATTCTTTTCTACTCCCCCTGCTTCCACCACTGCCACTACCGCCGCTTCCGCCGCTTCCACTCCCGCTGGTGCGGCTTCCCCGGCCGCTGCTCCGGCTGGAATGGCTCCTATAGCCACTACTGTTGGGTGTTGAAGAAAACCAATCGACGATACAAGCTATGATGAGAACGAGGCAGAAGAGGAGTGGAATCAGTTGCGAGGCGCTGTTGATTTTGTTAACTTCTGAGGAGACGCGGTTCCAATGGATTGAGAGCTCGATGGCTACGAGGACGGTAGTGGCGATGAGGAGGTTGAAGACGAGTTGGAGTTGATCCATGTTTGAGCTTCCAGAGGGACTTTTGTAATCGGTCAGCAGGGTTGACGTTTCATTGAAGGGAAACAGGAGAAATAGTACCTACCCATCTCTCTTTCTCTTTTTCACCCTTCTCTTCTTCTCTTCACCTCCACCACTCAAACTCCTCACTCCCATCACCACCCCGCCCACCAACACTATCAAGACCACAGCAATATTGAACGCTCTGAACCCGACACTGCCCAAATCCGCTTTGGCAAACAAGAACCCATACGGTTTCCCACAAACCTTTTCATCTCTCCTTCTTACTAATTCAACCACTCCAGAGCACCAAAACCACAACTGAAACCCACACACCATCAACAGGAGAACGAACTCCATGATAACCAGCAAATCACACCCCTCCCTCTCCTTCACCCCGTTGTCCCTTCTCATTCCCTTCTTCTTCTTCTTATCACCTCTACCCCTCCTCCCCTTCTCCCCATGCCCCGTCTCAGAACCAGGCCTTACAAGACATCTCCTAACCCCCGTCCAGAATACTACTCCCAACGTGACGTACGCTGTACCGCTGACTAACAAAGTCGCAATGTATACCTCCACTGCTCCGAAGACAGCATTATCTGTATCTGTATCTGTACTTGAACCGGGAGAAGAGGCTACTACTCTCATAGCGAGCCCGATGAACACGGCAGAACAGAGAATCGCGTGTGCGGCCCTTAATACGGTATAGGGCGCCGGAGAGCGGGTTCGAAGGAGCGTTGCGGGGATGAGACCGATCCAGAGGAGGTAGAAGGAGAGGCGGATGCCGAGGCCGGTTGTGGAGGGGAGGGAAGGAGAGTCAAGACAAGAGGAGGAAGGAGTAATTGACATTTTGATGTTGGTATGTAGAGGTAGAGGTACGGGTAGGTTATCGTGTGGTGAGTTGTGTCTAGACTAAACGCTTGAATCGAGGTTTTCACAATCTGAGAGATATCATCTTGGCTTTGAGATGTCGTCGGTTTGCTGGTTTGGTGCACGGTTGAGCAAGGTTGGGTTGCAAGTAGTCGTTTGAGAGTGTCGTCTCTCCTCTGGTAAGGTGAGGTGAGGATGTAAAAGATGTCAAAGTTGTCATGTACCCGAGGCCTCTTTCAGTTTTAGGGATTAATGAATTTGTCCACGGCCCCCGACACCGTCCACCAGATAATCCATGGATGTCAGTCTCTGATCCTACCAGGATAGCTTCTTCGTTCCTCATCATCAATCAGACTTCTGTGCCTACCTGCCTGCATGTGCTCACGTCCAGTACATACATGTCTGATTGAGATAGATATCCTGGGCTCGTCGTCATCCCAATACCTTGCCCACATGCACGTAACGTACGAATGTCAAACTTCCATCTTCGATCCAGTCGGTCAGCGGCCTTTTCTGCTTCCTTTTACCTCCTCAACACCGCATCTGTGTGGTACCTAACTGCATACCTAGAAGCAGGTCTCATCTAAACCGGGCTTTCATTAACCCAGGTTAGTAACTTCCCAGCTATTCTAGGCGATTGTGAAGCGCATTCATACACAACTCTTATTCTCCTGCCTACCTCTAGAGGTAAACTACTTCTACCCCAACAACCTTGTTAGGCCCAAACTAACCAACTAGCCCCCCACGACATTTCGGCTGGTCTCCGGCCGTGGACAATCAGTCCCACGACATCTTTCGAGCCCATGTCTCAGCCAGTTTCAAACACCGGCGCGCGCGGAATACAACCTCAAGGCCACTTCGAACACTTCATCCTTCCATTGCGAGTCTTATGAAGGAAGTATTCAAGAGGGGGTAGCTCAACTGACAAAACCTTATTCCTAATGTACTAACCGGAATCTCTTCTGTTCAGGCCAGGCTCCAGGCCCCTTTCTGTGTCTGTGTACAGCACGCCGCGTGAGTATCAGTCCCCAAAGCCAACGTCCAAAAAAAGGCTAAGTGGAAGTTGTCCGGTCGCCCTTGAAATCAAGAAGGAAGTGCAAAGCACACCCCATCTTTGTTTTTTTTCTTTTTTTTTAAACAAAAAAAATAAAAAAAATTCAAAAGAATTCTGTGGAATGGGATGAACAAAAACGACAAAGGGCAGTGCCAACCGGCGGTAGCGTACGCAGCCGAGACAGAACTGAAGAAAGACAACAGCACGTCGACGGAAGACAGCGAGGGTGGACCAGCGAGATGAGGAAGAGGTTACTTATTTCTGTTAGTTACGCCCGTAGGTACGGTAGGTAGTCTACCTAGAATGTCTCTGCTCTGTACTGTACGTTGCCTTTTTTTGGTTCAGGAAACTGTCACAGAGAGAATACTAGTGGTGGTGGAGGAAGGACAAAATAAATTTCTCTGCAGATACTACTTAGACTACTATTGTAGGGAGGGGCGTTTTGTTGGCACGTCAATCCGTTCATTCACATAACCAGAACCTACCCAACGTACCTACCTACCTCAGAAAGGGCGGGAATCCTGAAAAAGTCCAGTGAGAATTGCCCCATGAAGTAACTGGAGTCCAGCGAGGTTACCTTACAAAAGCAATGAATGCTCATGAATCCGGTTCCCCACCTACCTACATACGGAGCTTGAATGTCCCTTTGCTGACTTGAAGAAAAGGAAGATTCGCGACAAGAAACACCAAAGGTACGGAGTATAGAACAACGGGGAGCGAGGTGAGTGAATAGCCCGACGCCCCGACGGTGTAACACAAGAAGCGGGGTGAAGATCCTGAGGTAGAGTATCTGGCGTAACACAAAATCTATTCCGAAGGCTTGTCTCAGCCAGGAACGTTTGACCTCGTGTGACCATGGTGATACTATCCGCCGGTAAGCTGTTCTAGGCGGTATGTAGGAAGAAAAACCAACCGGCGGTGGCGGGTTTCTAGTCAGGGTTAAACTAGAGGACTGACTCTAGCCACATGTAGTTCTTTGGCTTGGAAATCACTTCGACCTATTGAGCTAACAGACACTCAGAAGAGAATGAAGAGTTGAAGGCGAGTGTCAGGCCGCTTGTCTACACCCGATAACCCCTGGGCTTGACAGAGGCTAACGCGGTAATGGTTCGATAATGACCAAAACAAAACGGAAACGGACAGTCGATCGAGCAAGTACCCATGAACCTAAACGGGGTGGTATCAATCTGATTCAAATATCATGCTTGTAAACAAAAGCGAACATAAAACAAGCCGCCATGCCGTGTGGGAATAGTTGAGCAAAGAAAACAATAAAAAACAACATGCACCATGCCAAGTCAACTAGGTCTTCACCCGCTTGCTCTCCTTTCTCATGCCTTTCTGAGATTCCTATACCAATCAACTCCTTTCCCGTCATCATGGTCCTGTCATCCCCAATGATAGCAAACCCTCCCTCGTCTTCCTTTTACTTCTTTTTCGTCCAAACGGCGAGCACATAAGGCCTTCCTACGCTCCTGCCTCTGCCTTCATAGTGTTCATCCTACGCGCCATGCTAAACCCAGTTCCCTTTCTTGTTTCCAGCGCCTTGGACCACCTCCTGGAGTCCTTGATGGGCTCCCCTTGCCCATCAAGCCCCAGCACCTCCATAAGCTCGGGGATCTCGACATGGTCCCTCGTTGTCTTCATACGGTGACACCATGTCACTTTTTTCTCCTCGCCTTCGTCTTCTTCGTTCTTGCCATCGATGCTGGCTTCCGACGGCCTGTGTCCTTGGCCGCCAAAGATCTTCTTGTCCTTTGTTATTGTCCCCTTGCTGTCACTACCTAGACCGGTCTCTTTGTCGTCAGAGTCTGGTTCCAGCCTTGAGCCGGAACTGTCCCTCTTCCTCTCGGCAGCAGCAGCAGCAGCAGCAGCAGCCGCTTCATTGTTCTCCCTTGTTGCCCTTTCAAGTGTCCTTTCCATATCCTCCCATTGTACGGCGTTAACGGGACTCTGAATATCCACCGGTTCGAACAAGAACTCGCCGCCAATCTGCTTGAAGTCTCCCGCTTTGTTGGCCAGCCCCTTGGGGATCTGTTTGATGCCTGTGATGATCGAATCAAATGAAGATTTGATCAGGTGCTTGGTTACGTAGGCGGGCTTCTCGCCCAGCGCGAGGGTGCGAACCATGCCGAGCTCCTGGTATAGCTTGCGGGTGGGATCGGCGTAGATGGGGAATGGGCAGTTGGTTGCTTGGGCGTACATGTCGATGAGCTGTGGGTTACCGCAGCCAACAACAGCGATGAAGGTCGAGAGTGGAAGCCGGAGGAGGGCGTCGGGGGTTATGGAGGCAGAGAGGGTGCGAAGGTATTCTTGGCATTGCTGATTCGCAGGAGCAAGTTAGCTGATGTTTGTCATTGAATAAAGTAGGGGTGTGGGAGGAGACGAGGTCCATGAACTTACACCACAGAAGAAGTGGCGGACAAAGATGATGAGGACTCGCCGGGCAACGTGCTTGCCAGTATAGAGACTCCGGAAGGTGTGCGACTTGCCGTCGCGATCGAGGACATGGTAGTTTTCGATCTTCTTTATGGTGGCCAAGCTTGGTAGGTCGTTGTTGCTGTCAACAGAGCCCTGAAAGTCCAGCGCGGCGACGGCATTGTCGCTTGTTGAAAAGCGGGGGCCGTCAATTGGCGAAGTCGAAACCGATTTACGCGACGGGACAAAGCTTGGTGGTCGTGATGATGATTTCTGTGATGGTTCTACTGGTAGGCTAGGGTTCGCCTTCTCGGCGGTCGTTGGGCGCGATGAGTTCGAAGTAGCGAACATGGGATTCGCAGGCGGTTGATCTGTTGAGACTGCCATGACTGACTGATGTGAGTGATGAAGATGACGACAATGCTGGTGATGTAGTGTTGTTGGTGGCGTCAAAGGAATCGGGCACTCGTAATGCGTTTGAATATCTCTGTCGTTTACTACTTAGCAAGATAGTTGTAGAGATCGTGCTAAAGAAGTTGTTCGTCTGAAGGGTTGAAGTTTCCCAAGTTTTTAATCTCGACCAATGTCGATCGATACCTCTTTCCAGCAGGAATGAGAGTAAGTAGGGGAGTAGTTTTAGGGGACCTGTTAGGGCGGTCGGTAGTTGGAGGCAAAGAGACCTAAACAAGGGAACTGTGACGTCTGAGCACGTTTTCTTGAACCAAAAAAGCCGACGAAACAGGGAAACTCAACGAATGGGCTCAGCCACGGGATGGATGGGGGAAACAAGACCATCAAATATGCCGGCCATGTTTTAACGACGCCATCAACAACGAAGCGAACGCACTGCCCTGTCGCCATGCCCCGGGGACGCTGCCGATTTGCGTCCCCTGGAATTGCACAGGGATCCCCCAAACCCGCTAAGGAAATGGGGTTGATCTGTTCCAGCCCACATCAGCAGCTCCACACGTGTCACTGCCCCAAACTCATCCTACCACTAGTGTAGTGTATGTATTCCCACCTAGCTGGTTGGTGAGCACCATGAATGTGCTTCCATCCTGGAGATAGGTCGGAAATGACAATTCGACACTCTTCCACGTTTCCCTTTCCATTCGAGTTGATCGAAACAAGAGGCACAGTCGTTAGGCGCGGACGAGAGAGTGCCCGAGGATTGAACAGCAACCGAAGTCCGCCCTCACCCCGCCCTAGGTACCCCGTACTAAGTCTACTGTACCCGTTTCGATATTTACGAAAGTCGGGCTATCCCAGTGGGGTTTGGGGACTCGTCAATCACCGCTGCGGTACCCACCTCGCTGGGTCGTCATTCTGTTTCTAGCAGCGTCTCGAGCCGCCAAGTCGTCACCTCATCAATCGCCGCCGCGTTTCACCCATGTGTCGAATCGACGACGACGGCTGCTACCTCTACCCACCGCGATGCTACCAACTACTTAACCGCGCGTCTCACTCAAAAGGGACTGAGGAAAGGATGGTGATGGTAGTGTCGGTAGAGGTAGCATTGACCAGTGCGCACCTATTTTCTAGATTGGACATTACCACACTTATCAACCTCCAATGGAGGCATGTCAACACCGGATGATGGACACTCCGCAGTCCGTTACCATGGCAACAAAAATAGGCACTTTAAAAGGAGTGAACAAGCAGTGGGCAATCGACACGAGCATTCGTGAGTTGAGCAATACTGAAGACGTGAGGCTGGTTACATGAGTGTTATAACACCATGTCTGTTTACACATGGGTCTTGCTTCTAGCTTCTTGGTGTATTGAAGCAAACCAAAGGTCTTGGATGCTGTTGCTTAAGACTGCAGGCAGGCTGAACACATCCCAAGCCCCAAGCTAGTTCGATCGAACTCGGACATAATCCGAAGATGAACCTAATGTTTGCTCCAAAATCAAAGAAGCTGGGAATGAACGTCATGAAGAGAGATTGTCTGACATTGAGAGGGAAGGCGCGATCCAGAAGTACTCAAGGGAGGGGTTACGGTTGGGCGAAGGGCTCTTGGAACAAGAAGGTGTTCCTTCCTCGACTGAGAAGTACCCCTGGATCTCAAGATAAGATTGAACTTCTGCCTAAGGTAGGCAGGTATCAGCAATCCGGTGACTCAGGTCAGTCTTCAGTTCCTTCTCCGTTGGGCTTCGAACCTTTACTTTCGCAAACATCACGAGGCAGTCATTGTTACCTAGTTTCACACAGAACCAGCTCTTTCCATCTCACGAGTATCTAATGAGACTCGAGGTTATCAGTCACACCTGCTAACGGGAGTCCTTCCGGCCGCTTTCAGTAGCACGAGATCAATGGCAGTGACAATGACGAAAGCTCAGTTTCACCATTCAGTTGCATCGATGGGACGGATCGTGACTACCTCTATCTATTGTAGACAAGACTTGCGGGTGGATGTGTCAGTGAGACGCAATCCGTCCTGTTTGAGGCAGCAGGATGAAATGGACAGGGCAGTCGCTCAAGGAAACTTCTACATCAGGTGAACGTGGTACTCGCAGCGGGACCGAGGTTCTGCCTGCCTCAACAGAGCCGCTTCCTCCTCGCTGTCATCATGATAGGAGGGTCAAGAAGGCATCTCGCTCAGAACGACGCCAACGTGACTCCTTTCTTGTGGGAGCTTGAGGGGTAACCCATCGCTCTTTCTCCGGGTAGTTCACGTCGTGATGTCTAGGGTATGGAAGGTCATTCCGTGGGGGTAACTGTGGTTGCTGGCAGTTTCTAACGTTATAATAACCCCCCATCAACTCTGCTCGGAACACGGCTCGGTTCCCAACACAATCCTGCTGCCCTTCTCCCATAAACATCCAGATACCCCAAGTGTCTTGTCGCACACGTTTTCATCTATCCATTCGAGATACACATCTCATTCCCTCAAACTTCCGATACCCTCGTGAGCGTTTGCCCTTTCTCAGAAAGGCATCATCGGTCGCCATGGGTTCTATGTACCAAGTCCAGTCGAAGCTCCGTCAGGACCTTGGCCTCCACAAGGTTCAGGCTGTTTGCAAGCCCGGTCGTGAACTCAATGGCACCAAGGCATACGTCAGTGCAATGGCCCGCTACGGTTTCAATCCCACCGAGGAGTCCAGGTTCTTCCACTTGAAGAAGACCGATCTCACCAAGGAGTTCCAACGCCGCGGCTACACTCGTCACTGGGAGCAGCTGGTTAGGACACCCCAGGAACGTCCCGACGATCCTCACACAGACAACGAGCCTGTCCCTGCCGAGGATCAGCAGTACGACACTCAGTATCTCTGCGAGATTGGTATTGGCACTCCGCAACAGAAGGTCAAGCTTGACTTTGACACAGGATCTGCTGATCTTTGGGTGAGTACCCAACCCCTCCCCTTTCACTTCTGTCATGGTACTGACCAGTTTCTTTCAAGGTCCGCTGCACAGACTCATCTCTTCTTCATCACGCCGACAAGAAGTTTGACCCGAAGAAGTCGGATACCTTCCAGGAGAGCAAGACCGACCAGACCTGGAAGATTCAGTACGGCGATGGAAGCACCGCTTCGGGCACCGTCGGTACGGATGTCATTACTGTCGGTGGGCTTCAGATCAAAGACCAAGCCATCGAACTTGCCAAGAAGGTGTCCAGTGCCTTTTCCTCTGGCGAAGCTGACGGTCTTCTTGGACTTGCCTTCTCCACGATCAACACCATCGAGAGCGGTGGCAAACCGGATCCACAGCCCACACCTGTCGAGAACATGATCAGCCAGGAGGACATTCCCAAGGAGGCTGAGCTGTTCACATCCGCCTTCTACAGTGCTCGTGATGACAAGTCAGAGGAGAAATCCTTCTACACCTTTGGCTGGGTCGATGAAGATCTCGTCAAAGCTTCCGGAAAAGATATCACATGGACACCCATCGACAACTCGGAGGGCTTTTGGAAGTTCCCCAGTGAGAGCGCTACAGTCGACGGCGAGAATGTTTCTGTGAGCGGAAACACCGCAATTGCTGATACTGGTACCACACTGGCGCTCGTCTCAGACACGGTTTGCAAAGCGCTCTACGCAAAGATCCCTGGCTCAAAGTACAGCTACCGATACCAAGGTTACCTCATCCCGAGCACAATCACAGCTGATCAGCTCCCTCAGCTGAGTGTCGCAGTTGGTGGAGAGCAGTTTGTTATTCAGAAGGAGGATCTGTTGCTGGCACCGGCTGACGATGACCATTGGTACGGTGGTGTGCAGTCGAGGGGTACTATGCCTTTCGATATCTTGGGTGATACATTCCTCAAGTCCATCTACGCTGTAAGTTCACGCATCTCTGATAGAGTGAAAATGTTACTAACACGATGAACAGATCTGGGACCAGGGCAACAACCGCTTTGGAGCTGTACCCAAGATTGAGGTGAACCAGCACACAGTGTTCCCTAACACCGAGTCTTCACCTGAGGCCGACTCACCTGAGCCCGCAGACAAAATTGGTGACGTCTTCCCCGTGGAGCAAGTCAAGGGAGCAGTGAAGAGTTTGAAGCTGCTGTAACTTGCGAGAGAGGCTGAAATGTTTGTGGTCTGTGGGACGCTCGTTAGGAGGAAGAAGTCAGTTCTGTTGATGTCTTTACTGTATCGTATATGGAAACAGTGGCTTCACAGTGGAGGAAGTGCGTTGCCTTGAGTTACCTGTACCTTTAGCGCACGCTGAAACATCCATTGTTACCGTCGAGGTCACTAGATAGTTACTCGTCCAAATCTCAACTCTCATGCTTGAACATGATCATATCTGTAGGAGAAGGAGCAAATAGGTCCTAAGTTCTGCTTATGCTCTGCAACACGATTTACACTAACTGCCAGAAACTGATACAGATCTGTAACCGATACCAAATAAGTTGGATGATGGAGAGGTGAGGAGGGTGAAGCAACCTTATGCCAAGCCCGTCACCGGTTACTCACCGTATAACCCTTTTCACGGCATGGTTAGTCAGAAGCTGACTATGACACAATGTTTAACTGTTCCTATTTTTCAAGTTCACCACATCTCCTCGAGCTGCAACAAATTCCAGCTACGACGACACTCATGGTTGATAATTGATAGTCTTTTGGTCGCGCGTGACATTTGTGATCTTTGCAAGCCTGCGATGACGAGTCCAGAGAATGTGACAACCTTGTGTCTTATCCAGGTTGTTGGACACACGACTTCCGAAGCAAGAAAGAAGCAGGAGAGGGTCAAAGCTGAGCAGGGTAAAGTCGTTTGCTCCGCGCTGAAGTCCGCCAAAAACGCCAGGATCACCGCCAACGGGTCCTATATGTGGATGCGTGGCACCTATACAAGACAAGAGCGACAGCCATGGGATTTTTATCTAGTTCCCTAGTTATATATCTCAACCCCAAGGTCATGGAAACTTTTCTGTACTGAAAGAATGGCGAAGTAGATCATATCATGTCAGGGTCCGTTTCAGGATCGGGGTATATACATATATAGGCCTTGTGAGCAAATATTCTTTCATGATTCGGACCAAGTTACGACGTGAGATGCTGCATGTATCCTTCATATACTAAACGCTGATTTATTATGGCGAAATTAGGAGTCCGAGTGTTAATAACGGGTCGGTGCATGGGTACTGTATGTGATAGGTGTGGATAGGTAGTCAGTCCTGGAAAAAGTGAATTCGGATACACGATGTGGTGGTGGTATGGTTTGTTCTTGTACGGATCTCGTACAAAAAGCCTCATACGGCCTTTTTTATATCCCATAAATGCCACCAATTCGCTATGGTAACTGTCCAGAGTTGATTTCGCCTTGAGGGGTCTCCAATTGAGTTTAGTTGGGTTGAGTGGAGTTGAGTTTGGTCAAGTAAGTTGAGTGAATCTGAGCGGCGCTGTACAACAATTGTACGACACTGAACCAACGCAGCTTTAGTACCAGGACGTAGGTAAAGGGGTCCTCTTCCATAGTGTTTGGTACTGGAGACGGGGTCTGGAAGTGCCTCTGTATAATATAATGCGTGCAGAGCAAGATGAGGTAAGTAGGTGAAGCATTCTGAGGTAGAGATCCCAAGCTTAGTCGTCGTGTGTTAGGGACGGATGAATACAGCGCAGGGCAAGGTATGAAGCAGTGGTGTTACAGTAAAGACCCTAATAAATGCAAGTCCACCTAAGGCTACTTGGTAAAAGGCAAGTGTCCGGGTAGTCCGTATTCAACAATCTGGATGTGAGTGTGACTCTAGTAAATGCCAAATGCTTGAAGGTAGTAAAATTTGCATTTACTAGGTCTTTACTGTACAGAATGAGCAAAGAAGTGACGGATCAGTCCTGTCTCGTGATGAGAGGTCCGAGTGATCGCGGCCCAGATGGAGATGGCTTTGATGACCTTGTCTGGGACCCTGTGGGACACATACATACGTAGCTCTGACCTTTAACTTGACGTCGATGAGCTCTTAAGTGTGGGCTTGGTGCTGGGAAGAACCTGGGTTCCGTGAGCTCTTTTTCTGGTGTGGTGAGAGCTTAGGTTAAGGTTGGGAAAGCTGGTATGTACACAGAATAATCACATCGACACGGTAGAGAGATATCTGCCGTACTGCCCCGCTGCCCAAGGACATGAACAATCGACGGGAGGGAGGGGAAGCCCCACGCATCTTTACTGGTACTGTTGTACGACTCGACGTTCACTGGAGACTATGTAAGATGCCCAATGTAGGTAGGTATGCAAGAGGCAGCGATAGCAGAATGCAACGATAAGAGCAGAAGGAGAAGAACTCCGGAAAGAAAGAGCATGACCATGGGCCATGGCGAGACACGGTTCCTCGTCTCGGGAAGCGATCCCGAAAGTCCAATGATTGGCCAGGTTTCTTGACGAAGGATGATTGGTCTTGCTTCGTTTTTCTGCAACGAACTTGTCGTGCATCATCGTGCCTTTTTGTTGGCATGCGTCTGTCGTGCTTGGGCTCTCTGCTCAGTCAGATGCATCCATTATTGATGAGATGAATCAGGGTGTCGAGAGGTGATGCTGTCTAGTTGTGGACTGGTTAAGCGAGAACGGGAGGCAATACCACGGGCTTTCAGACAGTCATGACCAGTTGTTGATGACTGACACAACGGACGACTTGTGGTAGAGGAGGACGGGAGAGCATCGAGAGGTCAGTTGTGGAGTTGTAAGGGGGCGAGTGCACGAGTCATGGTGTGGCCTTAGCTCCACGGAAGCTGCCAGAGCTGGGGGGGACTATCGATGTGGATCACAGTCCAGTGAGCAACCGAGTGAGGCCCGGGCCGGCAAACGGGCTGAAGTGTGTCAGATCAATCAACGGGCAGCGAACTGGTCTCAAACGGGATAATTTTGACAATCAACCACTCCTTGATTGTCCTTCGTCTGCGATGCAGCTTTGAATATATCACTCGGAAGACATATATACATCAAAACCTTTTAAACATGGTTGCCATCACCTCTTAACCTCAGCTTCCCTCGAGGTTGACGAGCCCAGAAGCGGGCGGCAACAAGACCCACCTCAGAGCGTCAGGTTCCGTCCCCGCGCCTTCGATTCCAGGCCGGGCTTCCATCCTTGGGCGGTGTCTGGCAACCTACCTAGCTTCCAGGCGGCCAGGCCCCAACCTATCTCCATTCCACTTCCACCACCTCACTTTGGCTGCCCGCGATTCTGCCCAGGGTTTCCGCCCAGTATTGCTCCTACCGCCTGCCCGCCACGCTACGTAGGTAGAGGAGGTGCTCTTCGTAAACTTCACAAGTTCACACCTGCTTTGGGCTTGCTGCGTAATTCCGTCCGATTCTTTCTATCGTCCATCCTTTCAGTTTGGTTACTACTATTTTTCTCAGTCCTCGACATCAAGTCAACTTTTCAAGTTTCCCATCCCCACGTCTTCCGACTGTAACCTCTGTTCAGCTTGCTTCTTTCCCCTGCCCAGCCAACATTCCTGGCCGGCTTTGTTTCTGACCCCCGACCCTTTTTTTCTCTCTAATATTCTTACCCCAAACCAAACAAAACCCGCCCGCCGAGGGATCCAAGGTTGTTGCCATCCCTCCCTGCGAGCTTCGGACTCGACTTTGGACGACAGCCGTCACAGACCTCCCCACATCTTTCTGCACCGCAGGGCGGTTACGGACACACAAGATCCCAACCCGTTCTTTTGACATCTTCTCCCGAGGAGAGGACCAACCACACCACCACGCTAGAAATTGTCCATCCGACTGGGCCTCCCTGTCCTGACGTCGTCTGGTCCACCACGGCAACGCATGAGTTTGCCGATCACCGATAACATTACCACCGTCGAAGCTTCCTGCCCCCCTTCCATCGGCTGAACAGCCCCGACGCGATTATCCATATATCCTTTCTCTCCCTACCTCGATCACCTCCACATAGAAACAATGGCTTCCGCCGCGCCCAGACGCAGAAAGGTCATCGGTCAGCGTCGCAGGGTTGAGGACGAGGGTGAAGAGGAGGGCCCTGACACCCTGGACCTCGACGACGACTCGGTCACAGAAGCCTCCATCGCAAGCGACGACCACGACCTCGCTGACAACGACAGCGACACTAGCAATGTCGACGAGGTCTCTCCCTCCTCCCCCAAACTTCACAAGCATGTCGGCAATGGCGCCGCGAAAGCTGGAACCAGGCGCCGCGCAAGCGACACGGCTGTCGCCAAGTCTGGCGAGAAGCCCGTGACGGATACGGAAATCATGCTACATGGACTATCACTGGCCGACAAGGATGGCGAGGTTGAGGAAGTCGATTTTGATAAAGTTCAGCATCATGAGAAAGGCCCTGCTGCTAAGGACCCCGCGGCGCCTGTTGTCGTGAGCTCCAACTCTGTCGCAAAGCAGTCGCGCGTCCTCCCACACGAACAGAAACGGCGCTCGGAACATGAAGAATACCGGCGGAAGAGGGACGAAGACCCAACCTTTGTGCCCAACCGGGGTGCTTTCTTTTTACACGATCATCGTCATGCTGGACCGGCCGCGAACGGCTTCCGCCCATTTACTCGACCGGGCCGTGGAAGAGGTGGTGGACGAGGTGGTGGGCTTGTGGGCCCATTCACTTCTGTAAAGTAAGCTGGCCAAGATTCTATTGCATATCTGTTGGTACTCGCATATACTGACCGCTGCTGCAGCCCACCTAGTAACCCCTCCGATCCCACGACGAGCGGGCCTTGGGCTCACGATATGCACGAAGAAGTCGCGGGCCCTCGCCCTCAACGACAGCAGCCACCCAGATACATGCCTGACGATGAAGGTCCTCCGAATGGAAACGGTGTCATACACAACGCGCCACTGAGCAACACCCATATCAACCGGGCCATGTCCTGCGTTAAGCCCCTTGGCAACGTGACCGTCCGCGTCTTCATCCCCAACATCGGCCTTGGGCCTAAAAGCTTCCCTAGCATACCCTTGAAACAGTACACGAAGCTTCCCGATCATCGTCCGCCTCTACGAAGGGATAAGCCCGTCAGGATCTCCATACCATACCACAATTTCCCTGTGATGCCTCGCTATATCTTCCCGGCTAGCGATAGATCATTCATCTTCATCCCGCGCGCTTTGCGCCCGAACAACCAGCGCGGTCGCGGCAAGGGCCCGCGTTCTGCCTATGGTTCCATTGGGGGCTTCTCTCGCAGGACTAGTGTGTTTGGCGGAAGCTTCTACGGCAGCGCCTATTCACCTAGCATTGCTATGAGTCGACGATCATCGATTGGCAGAGACTTTATGATGTCGCCGACGGGCTCTGTAATCTCCCGGCCGCCCCTCCCTGTTGACGCCAATAGACCCGTTGTCCGTCTGCCACCGCACGCACAGCAGCAGCCAACGATGGTCGCAACCCAAAATATGCCCATGATGGAGCCGTCCATCAACAACATCCCACAGCCGCAAACCCATCCTCTCCCACAAAAGCCTGCTTTCCAGGACAGCACTGGCACCGCTATCCCCATGTATCAACCGCGTCCCCAGAAGTCTGTGTCGGTTGAAAACATCGAGACGCCAGCGCACCCAACGGCTGCTGCACCTCCAGCTTATCAACAAGCTTTCCATCAGCAAGTTCCTCCTCAATTGGAATCGCATGCTCGCAACCCATCATACCAGTCCCAGGTTTCGACGACTCCACTTTCACAGATTCCCGAGCGAGCTATCCATGCCGCTCCATTCCAGCCCAACACTTTCTCACAGCCCGGTTTCTACGCCCAGCCGGTGCAGATGATGCCTCCTCAGCAGGGATACTATTATCCTCAGGGAATGGGCACCGATATGCAGCCGAATGCAGCGGCGCCCGCTTTTATTCCTGGAGGGGTTCCGGTGCCTCAGCCTATGGGATACACAACATCTGGGCCAGTTGACCCAGTAGCGGCCGCGAATGCTCAGGCCAGTGGGCAAAACGGTGCCTCGCAAGGTCCTGTCGCCCAAGAAATCAACGGTATGGTGTACTATTATGATCCGAACACGCTTCCTGCCATGGTTACATACCCCCAGTATCCAGCTGCAGCGCCGGCCTATGGAGGTCCTGGCGTGGTTGGGATGGGAGGCATGATGGCTCCCGGGCCAGATGCATTCTACTATCAACCGCCGCAGCCGGGAATGGTTTACTACGCTCAATAGGACGCGGCATGGTGGCCTGATGGTAGCTGATCGGGTTGACAAGTGGATGGCTGGGATATCTGGGAAGGGCTGCTCGAATACCTGTCTGCTCATGGATGATCGAATGCTTCCAAAAAGGAGAGGTTTCAGGCAACTGCGTTGCCGTTTGAGAAACCACAGACGAATCCTGTGGATGGACATGGGAGATGACGACCAGTAATGGAGCACAGCATCACACATTCAGTGTTGAGTCTGTCCTCAGCGTTGAAGGGTGCAGAATCTCCATGATTATCCCAAGCAATCCAACCACCTAACGTACCTACCTATTGCTTCCATTAATGCACGACTACGTTCGTCTTACCTACAACCTCTTTGAGTTATTGATGAATCCGACGATCAGGTGTATATCTTTCTTGTCCAGGTGGCCATGTATGTTTTCAGGTTTCTATAGCGGGTCGGTCAGGTGGTTTCGGCGGCGGCGGCAGAATTGCTTTGTTTCTTTACCCGTGTTGTGCTATATTGCAAGCGACTTGATGTTTGGTCGTGATGTTTCGATGTCTATCCTTCTGTACGACAATATGATTGCATTGCTGGCGACGGCCAATTTTCATGTTAAAGGTAAACGCGGATGAGTCCTCTTTTCGCGTGCTTCGGTCAGCGTTTGCATGCTTCTCGTTGGCATGTTTCATGCCCAAGTGGTTTTAGACTCTCCCTGGAACTCTCTGCTACGATCGTAGGTGTTTTGATATGGCGTTCATCGAGCATGGCCTTCTCCTGAAAAGAGGTCTCTCCTCGTGAGCCGACCTGTACGATATTTGATGGTCTGCGTTCTGATATAGCGTGTGTATAAACCACCTGACTTTCATATGATAAAGCATGGTACCAAGCGCTCATATTTCCGCTTTGATGGTGAAGATATGGAAACTACTGATATTGGGGCATAAAGGAGGGGAGAACTGAAGGCGGAGGTGAATCAAGAAAGGGGCGGTGATTTATCAGGGTTAGGGTACATGGTGGGAAATCATCGCGTCACGATTGGTAAAAGTCTACTGCAACTTCCATTTCCAGGGCGTTCGGATCAACCCCACAATTTGCGTTCCTCCCCCCGAAATGACGGGCGATGGCTGTGCAAGAACAATTGTGAAGATGTGTCCGTTTCAGATGTTGAAAACAACAGAAAGATGCCATGTGACTCATGACTCAAGAGATTTGAATACGAAAGATAACACGTTTGCTGGGGTTGTGAGTGTCTTTCGGTGTGTTAGTTCGGATTCTAGGCTTTCAAGGACGGACGCTGGGTTCGGGCCAGGATGGAAACGCAACGTATACTTCCTTTTCACGAAGCTATAAATCAACGCGCTCCTCGATACTTGTCGTTGGGAGAAGAATTATCAAGTGTTGCTGAATCTTCTCAAGAATTCCATCCTATATTGCATCTTTCATAGAACTTCCAGGTCACCTCTTCCAAGCGGCCTCTGTCGGTCAGAAGAGCTCCATCACCGATTCGGTTACTGCGTCATAGCATCGACGGCGACAACAAGACAAGCACTCACCAACACAAAACGTCAACATACAACAGAAAAACCCTCGCTCAGGCACGTTCAAGATGAGCGATAAAAGGACAGGCATCACCGTTTTCTCTGGAGGTATATCGGCCTGATTTCAGCCATTGACTTCCCCGGACTTCTGCACGTCCTGTTTCTTCTCTTTCTTTTCCATCGCCAATTCCCTTGGGGAGAACCCTGCTGAGTGGACACTTGAGCTAACAACCACGGCAACAACCCAAAGGCACCGCGGCGAACAGTCTTGTTGATGTGTTCAACGGGATCATTGAAAAGAAGAATTGTCAACTCAACTACATCATCCCAATCAGTGACAATGGTGGAAGTTCGTCCGAGTTGATTAGATTCATTGGAGGGCCAAGTGAGTGAGAGCCTTTCTGTCTGTGTGAAAACGAGAGCTAATAATAATGCTACAGGTGTTGGTGATATTAGGAGTAAGTCTTCAAACTCACAACTAACAGCCGAGAACCCGAAGATGAACCTACTAACACAACCCAGGCCGTCTCGTCCGCCTGATCCCAAACCCCTCCAATAACCAAGAAAAAGCCGCCCTCAAAGCGCTCTTCGAGTACCGTCTCCCCGGTGATCCATCAAAAGCCCGCATAGAATGGCTCGACATCGTCGAAGCCCGCCACCTCCTCTGGGCCTACATCTCTTCTCCCAAACGAGAACTCATCCGGTCCATCCTCAACACCTTGAACCTCGAGATCGTCAAGCGAACCCGGCCAACGTCCACCTTCAACTTCGCCGAAGCCTCCATCGGCAACATGTTCCTGACCGGCGCCCGCATCTTCTCCGGCTCCTTTGAGTCCGCCATTTACCTCCTCTCCATGATCTGCTCCATCCCGCCCAACGTCAGCGTCCTCCCCGCCATCAACTCCAACTTCACCCACCACATCTCCGCCGGCCTCGAAGACGGCACGACCATCGCGGGGCAGGTAGCCATCAGCCACCCGAGCGCACCCACCGCTTTACCAGACGACGTCAAGATCTCGCTGGCTACACCCTCCTTCCCTCCCTTGTTGCACGGGGGACACGGCCACGGCGCTCCTCCCTCCTCGGCAAACCTTCATCCCGCCGCCATGGCCATGGCTATGCATGACGGCGGCATCATCAAGCTTCCTCCTCAGCATTTGACCGTCCCATCTACTGCTGGATCCTCCACCGCCGCCTCCGTAACCACGTCGTCCTTCTCAGCAACCACCACCCCAACCAAACCCACGTTCCCCTCTCTCCCATCTCGCCCCGGCGCAAGAGCCCGCTCCCAAACCGAAACCGAAGACGCCTCCCTCCCTGGCTCTCTCCCCTCTCTTCGCACGCAAAACATATCTTTTAGCAAATCCGATTCGGACGAAGCCGACCAGTTGAGTGCACGGATAGAAAGGGTGTGGTACATCAACCCGTACGGGCACGAGATCTGGCCGAACGCGAATCCCAAGGTGATTGATGCGTTGGCGGGGACAACCATGGTGGTGTACAGCATTGGGAGCTTGTGGACGAGTATTGTGCCTAGTCTGGTGTTGAGGGGGGTGGGGGAGGCTTTGGCAGGTGAGGACGAGGAGGAGGATTTCGATAACAAGGAGGGGGAGCAAGGGCAAGGGCAAGGGGAGATGACGATAGACAGGACGACAACAACAAAAAAGGTATTGGTGCTAAATGCGACGATTGATCGGGAGACAGGGCCAAAGAGTAAACCGATGACGGCGACGGATTTTGTCAGAGCGGTGGCCGAGGCTGGGGAACAATCGCGGAGGAGTGATCCGAGTTATCAACCTCGTCCTCATGCTCATCCTCATGGGAAGGATGACAACAAGGATTCTGCCGCGGGCTCGAATAATAACGATCAACAAGCACAAGGGAGACTGCTAAGAAAATACGTCACGCACCTGATCTATCTGGACGGACAAGAGGTAGGTGGACAGCTGGCGAGGACGGGAACAGCGCCACAGGTGGACGTGAAGGAGTTGGAAGGGTTGGGGATCAAGTGTGTTAGGGTGGAGGGGAGAGTCCAGGAGGATGGGAAGGAGGTTAGGTATGATGAGGGGGGGTTGGGGGAGGCTTTGGAGGGGATTCTTGATGAGTGAGTAGTCTCTAGTGAGAGAGAAAATATTCTGAAGAACGGGTGGTAGTGGTTGTAAATGGTGAGTTGGGTAGTAAGTAATGATAATATTTTTCTTGCCCTCCAGTGATGTTGGTGAGGCCTCGGATGTTGAGGTTTGGTGGTTCCGTTCGGGGGTAAACTAGGAAGAATGTGTGGATGACGTGTTTTTTTTCCTTTTCTTTTTTTTTTTTTTTTTTTGGGCAGGGTTTAACCAAAGGAACTGTAGACGTGAGAGAATGTTAATAATATGGTAACAAAATTCCTAGACGAGGGGGGCATGTAGAACCAAAATAGCAGACAGTTGATGTGATGGCTAGCCAGACGTCTGTGGTTTTTGTTACAGATATCACATAGGTAGGTACGCTTTCCAACTTCGGACCTACATACCAAACTTGCCCATCCCCTCCAGCCTACGAATCAAGAATCCGATTTAATGTATGAGTATGATCCAAACCAACAAGAATCACCAAAACAGCGATTCGATCCGTAGTGTACAGTCTTTTCAACTCATCATCCATCCCATCCACGGTTCCGGCTCCGGTTCCGGTCCCGGTCACGGTCCGAACCTTGTCCCGTCTCTTCAATCTCTTGCCGGATTCGCTAAAACTTAAAAAAAAAAAAAAAAAAAAAAAAAAAAAAAAAAAAAAAAGCAAGTTGCCGTCCGTATCACAAACCCACTTTTCTGCTTTGCTGACTGTATGTGCACCTGTGCATTTGAGGAGGAGCTGGAACTCGCACGCTTCTTGAAGGCCTGGAACTGGAACTTTCTCCTCTCGATAGAGGGCAGGTTTGTTATGCTAGTAGGTGGTTATTGAAGGGATAAGTGAATCACGGACTGAAGTGGCGCGCAGGTGGATAAGAGGAATGGTGAGGTATGGTATTGGAAGAAAGCTAAGCAAAAAAAGAACAGAAAAAAAAAAAAGGAAAAAAAAAAGAAAGTACAAAAAAAGGTAAAAAAAAAAGAGACATCTCCAGGTGTCAAAATTAAAGAGACGTGGAATAAAATTCGACCAAAATTTTCGAAGTGCAGCTGACGTTCTCTACTTGATATCGTAGTATAAGTTATGCCAACCAAGATGTGAGAAAGACACCAAAATGCAAACAGACATTTCCGGGTCTTCGGTCAGTCGGCAAAACATCAGCCAGGTAGCCCAACCGCCCCATCTTATCTATCCCGCCCGTCCGTCTGTCCGTCTGTTACTCCAACCGACGACCGAACTTCCTATTTCGACACCTCCTGTTGTGCACTCTAGGTAGCAGTCAATCAGTCAATCAGTCAGTCAAGTTACCTCGCAGCTTGGTTGTCTTGGTTGCGCAATTTTTCACACATGTGAACGAGCCATATATGGAAGTAAGGCGAATGGACGAGAGCACAAAAGGCCATGGGATGGGGTAAGAGGCGGTAGGTATCTAGCTAGCCCTGACAAGTAAGGCTGCTTCCTTTTGTGTTGCGTGAGTTGTGCTGTTGTGCGAGAGTTGATGTATATATCTGTGAAACGAAGAATCGTGAGAGGGTAAGTAGGTTCAAGAGTTCCAACAAGTCAAGCAAGTTGTTGTTAGTGAGGAGCTATGGTCGCTATTTCTCGAGCCGCCTCGTCGTCTGTTGTGTTGTAAGTGGCAGACCAGCACTTTTAGGACTGTGTCCCTGAATCAGAAGTTCGCTGGTATCGATATACGGGGTAGCCGTGTGGTTGTTTGAACCGCTTCGTACGGCCCGGGAGATTGCGACATTTGGTGTTTTGGGCAATGATAAAAGGAAAAGAAAAAGAAGAGGAAGGAGCATGGCAGATGTACCGACGCATGCCGCAGATACTTGCTCAAGGCAAGGCTTCTCAAAGCTTGAAACAGCTTGTTTTGGATGTGCCGAGGTAAGCATAAATGGGAAGCAGCGGTCCTCGCCTTTTGGATGACTGCAGCCTCGTTTCTCCTCATTCTCCCATGGCTTGTCGATTTTCATCCTTCTGCTTTGCAAGAGGTCCGACTGTCCGTTTCGTCTCTGTTAAGATGAGTGGGATCGTCACTGAGCGTTGTCCATGTTGATCAATCCCACGTGGGATATGGGGATTGAGTGTGCTAGCCAACACACTCGGACGTTTGCACGAGAAGGGTCCCAATTCATAGGTCGTCGTGGTAGAAGTGGGAAATGGTAAATTGGGGGAATGAATCTCGGAATGGATTCATTGGCCACCCGATTACATGGAGACTGCTGCCGCCTGGCAACTCCAGCGAGGCGGCGTGTCTCCACGCGAGGGGTCGGGAGTCTGGGGTCGGGGGGGTCGGGGCTCCTGCTGGGGGGACTGTCATCTGACACTAGCAGGGTTACGGTATTTGGGTGACGCGGCGATAAGCGCTGCCTGCACAAGTTCTCTAAAATCTACCATGCGAGTACAGATTGTATGTACCGATATCTGCTTTTACCTAGGTCGGTAGGCAAGCGTGTACCTAGTTTACGGACTGTTGATAACGTACGAAACTCGTACCTAGTCAAGTTTCCAGGCTGGCAAAAAATGCTGACAAAATAAATTAAGCATCGCAGCTTGCTTTGGCCTCCAGCGACACTCGCCCGCCTCGCAGTCGGCAAGCTCGGTCAAACCCCAGGTCGTAGGCCCTCCAACTGGCGACGTACGCCCAGATTCTTTTCGTTGTGGTTTCGCCTCGATGGCGCCGTGAGCTTCCTCCCAGCTTGATGGCTGGACGTGTAAATCTGGCTTGGCCTTGACCATGTAGTGTATTAGTGATGGATAATCAGACAGTGTGAACAAAAGGAAGGACAGCACTCGATTGACATTTCCCCTCGGAGAACCTCAAGGCAGAAACAACGAGGATCCTGACATAATATACACAGACTTTGATGATTATTGCCAATTGATTGCGTAGGAAAGCGGGCAATGATCAAAGACAGAGGCGGTTGGTCAGAGTGAAGGAAGACGGTCAGTGCAGTGAGACATGCCTGGAAGTCTGGCTCCGTCCTGATTGGCTATCTTTGTATTTTGGGTAATGATGTGTAACATTAGCACACTTCCGGCACCTGGGTGGTGTTAGTGCTTGGCCATGACAATGCTTGGAGGGTAGTTAATGAGGTATTGATTTCTAACGGATTTCTGCGGCCTCTCCTACCTCTGACCGCTTCCAGTTTGCTAGTGTGTTTGGAAACATGCACCACTTGATAACAGAACTGCCGCACGTCGCTTAACATTGAGGAGTACTACTCCGTGCAAACTTACCTCTAACCGGAACAGGAATTGGAAGTCCCCAACGATAGGTCATCGAAGGCATCCCGTCCTCGGTCTTTTACATAGCGAAGTACCTACAGTACCTACACCGCGCACTGCAGCACAGTATCTGTACCAACGGACACCCGCCAACGTGCCCGTGAGGCAACTACTATTAGAGCCTGGCTCTTACTCCAAACTCGCCTGCTCAGCTGTTCTCTCCATTTTCTCTTTTTTATTTCCACCACCACCTCTGCAATCCAGCAATCATCGTCAAATCCGGCTTCCATCCTGTTTCATCAATTTTGACTGTAAGTCGGCCCTTCACGTTCAAGCGTTATTCGCCAACCCGTCGCGGATTTGGACACCGCCTCGGTTTGCGGTCCACTCCATCGTGTCGGATTGTCGTCGACGAGGACCTTCCTGGGCTTTCTCTAACAGGCTCCCTCCCATCACAGTTCTGATTCCCTTCATCGTCCACCATCAACAACACCGCATCAGGCGGCTACCAGCAACGGACTACAGTAAGTGGGCATTATGCGGTGAATGATTTGTACCTTTTGTTCTGTTTCGATACACACCGTTGTCGTTGTCGTCGTGGGTGGTTCTGTTCTCTTCTGTTGCCGGCTCAAATGATCGCCTTCCCTTCTTGTGCCATTCAGTGCTGTTGCTTGTGGCGGGTTTAGCGCTACCTTTACCGCCTATCGTACCCGTTCACTATAAGAGTCCATGCATCCCGCTTATCGTCCGTCCCCTTCCTCGCTCCCGACTTTTGGACTACAGGTACTTGCTGGACCTTCTTTGACTAACACATCCATCTTCAAATCATTCAGTCCGGCATCATGGCGGCACCTCCACCAAGCCCCGATACCCCCATCACCCTCAAGGTGGCATTTGATGGTGCTTCTCGCCGGTTCAAGCTCCCGCTCCGCGACCTAACTGCTAGCTCGCTGGAGACCAAGGTACGTCACTATTTGATCATCAAAGACACACCGCGGCAGTCTTTTCATCCCCTTTTATCAAATACAAGACATATCCACTGACAGTTTGACCAGTTGCGTGCTCACCTGGAGATTCCTGCCGAAACCAACGTCGTCTTCGAGCGGTATTCCGACTCTGCTGGCACATACGTCACCCTTGATCCCGCCAACACTTCGGTCTACAAACAGTTGTTCCGCGCGGCCAAGGCGAAGCAGAAGCTTAAACTGCGTGTCAACCGTGTGACGGCAGAGACGCCTGCCCAGACCTCCACTCCCGAGGCGCCCCAGGACACCACAACAGAAGCCAAGCCCGCCTCGGTCGAAGGCGAAGTCACAGAGACAGAGGGCGATGCTTCAGCGTCAATCCCCACTAGCCCCGTGTATGAGGAAACCACCGAGGTCATCAAGTCAATTGAGACGGACGCTTCACCCAGCAAAACCTTTGAGTCTCTCCAGGCTCAGCGCTCCGACATTATCACACGCGTCAACAACGCCATGGACCGTATCGAGGATCTTCAGTCCCGCCTGCCCTTCGGCCGTGCCGCCAGTGTAGCGTCTATGCCTATCAGCGCCATCTCCCACACCGACACCCAGGAGTCTACCCGTTCCGGCTATGCCGTCTGCTGCAACAGCTGCGACCGGACCATTCCCTATGAGCATTACCACTGCTCCGTCTGTGACGACGGCGATTTTGATCTTTGCCCTGACTGCCACAACAACAAGGGTGTTATTTGCCACCAGTATGGTCACGTCCTGACCAAGCGCTTCATCAGCAATGGCTCCATCACAACCGTTGACACCATGCCTCGCATCGTCGACCAGGATAGACTCGCACATTCCAAGGCTGCAGGGGAACGCCTTGGTGAAGCTCATGCCGAGTATATGGCCAAGCTCCAGCAGGCTGAGTATCAGAGGGCCAAGCGCCAGCAGGCCGAGTTCGAGAAGATAAAGGCTGAGAGCTCGAGATCTTCTCCCCCTCCTCCTCCCCCCGCTTCCCGCTACGAGAGCGTCCC